TAATGCATATCAAGCTTGAACTGTTTTCAGCTGAATTATTTGTTTGGCATTTCCCAGCATTGCCCAATTTCATCTCTAATGCACACATGTTGTATTTACAATAGCTTCATTATATCAGTTGACTTTTACCCATTATTCCGATTATTCAGCCCTGCCAGCTTCCTCGCACTCTTCCTCTCCCTCTGCCTGCCAACCTCGCTCCCTCCCCTGTTCATCAACAGATTTGGGCAAGTAATTCACATGTCACTAATTAAATTAGTTGACTGACTTTTGAAGCTGTTGCTGCCGTTGATGAGGCTGTTGCAGCTGTTGCTGCTGTTGCCGGTGCCTACGAAGGGGGCAAGCGAATTGTACCGTTGGTAACTTGCAATATAATGCAAAGTGAACAATTAACAACTTGTAGTCCAAATACGTTTAGCAGTTAACTTGATTTTGCTTAATAAGCCAACTTTTGTTTTTAGCCCGATAAGAGCAAAAGTCAAGGTCTGGGCTGGGTCTGGCTTGTGGCTTACGAGCCCTTTTCCGTGTTATATTATAACATTTTCAACAGATTTGCAACTATTAACCCTCTGACTCTTAGCCCCACTCAGTTTTGCAACTATATTTAAGCTTAATATCGAAACGAAGCAGCCTTGACTGCATCATGGAAGATTTATCACACAGCAAGCGGAAAACATTGCCCTTCTACGCGATTCTCATGGATTCAAGTAAGTCTTCTGGTAAGTCTTAGGTATTCTTGCTTTAGATATAAGTGTTATATTAAAAAATTGTTTTGACAATCTTTCGTATTGTCAATAATCGTATGTGTGAAAACGATATACATATATAATATATATAAACACGATATGATATTGTTTAACTTGTATTTTGATGCAGTTAGAATTAGCAACAGGTTTAAGACAGTTTAGTTTCATATTACCATGTCGTTAGGGTATATAATGTTCGAGTTCATTAATATTTCGTGTTGTTATTATTTTTACTGCTGTTTTCCGTTTTTTTTACTTGGCAAACGCAGCTGTTGCCGCTGCCACCGGCACACACTAATTAAACAGCTGTCTAAGACGCTTCCTTGAAACATTCCACAGCATTGAATTACAAAGGCAATGTAGAACAGAATATTGAGCATGTTAATGGGGCACAGATGTGTATGTTGCCAGAAAATTAGGCACACTTCGTTTCCTTTTGAGTTTGTGTAAAAATAAATATAAATGTATATAAAAAAACATAAAAGTCTTTATAAATATAGTTAAGAAAGCATAAAAATTTAATTTTATGCACCAAAAAATACGAAAATTAAATCGCAGTGAATAGTGAAAATAGTGTACCCAATTATATGGCCACCGCTGTATTTAAATGCAACCAGATGTATGTATTTAGGCGTGCAAGTCCTTGGCTGAGAGTGAACGACAACTAAATCGCAATGGAGCTGTCTCATAAATTGGCTAAAATAAAAGCCAGGCTGATTAGTTATCGATTTCGGACAGGTAAATAAAAAATTTAAGCAAATTACGTCAAGAGACGGCAAAATTTGCAAATCAATGCAAATAACTGGACAAACAACATGTTGGAAGATGGGCAACAAAAAAGAAACGACGGAGAAAGAGAGCGGCAGTGCGAGGGCCGGGAATCGGACAAAAGCTGAAAGCAAAAGCTTTGATATTAATTAAGCAAATTTACGTTGAAAGATGTCAGTGTGCCACAAGGATGCAAAAACGTGTTTTGATTTTGTTTATTAGAAATTGAATTTGTATATGCAAAGAAACAGGAAAATCAAGTAGAGATCGCCGCAGCCAAGCAGCAACGAATATTGAATGCTCTTGCTTGACAATGTAAATGTAAGCCAAAGATTTCGATATTAACTGTTGATTAACAGCAATCCAATTGGAATGGCTCAGTTGGAATATGCAACTAGTAGCAGTGACAGTGTTGGTAAAGCGATCAAGGAACTACAGTAAATGCTTACAGAGAGAAGCGCTTTGACAACAAAGTTGATTTTAATTTTGTGATAACTCTTTATGGCTGTGTCTTTTGGTCATTAAAATTATAAAAACAATCTATTGATAATAATAATTATTTATATTCAAAATTTAAATAGATAAATTTTAAAGAATTTTCAAAAAATATATATTCTGTTCAAATGGAGGATTATAAGAATGAAGTGTTGCTAAAAATTAGATTTTCTAAAAATGTAAACTACTATTTCTCGAGAATTCTAATATAGGAGTGTTTTCAATGACTATATATTAAGGTAATATTTGTAGTTAATATACCTTATAATATAGGGTATATATTTTATAGGCATATTCATGTAGCTGGCCGAGCTATCGTTTAATGAAAGTGCACCAGCAGCAGCTGGCAACAAGTTGCACGCATGCGCATTAGAGCGAGGCAGACAGCTGGAGTGAGAGAGCCAAAGAGACAGAGAGAGCGAGAGAGAGAGAGAGAGGGAAGTCAATAGTAGATAGGCGGCACTATTATGTGCATATGGCAATGCTTTAGAATTTTGTTCAGTTTCATGATAACCGGTTTTTCGACTGCCGACAAAAACAACAACAACAACAACTAGTTGTGACTCCCATGAGAGGCGGCTGCTGCTGCTGCAGCTTGGGTTCATTGTTTACCCAGACATAGCTGTTATAGCTGTTTGTTGTTCTTCTGCTAGTTGTTATTATAATAGTCGCTGCTGTTGTTCTTGTTGTTGTTGTTGGTGTTGTCGATATGTGCTTTACTCTTTGTTTGCTACCTACTTACTTGCCAGGCTATCTGCCCGGGCTTCAGTCTTGGTTTAATTACACTTTTTCCAACGAAACAACTTCACAGATAGCGGAAGTTGGACAATAGCCGCAAGAGACCGGCTCTCCGGCTAGCTGAGAAGGTTCCACAAACGTGTGTCACATGCGAGTGCGAGCGTGTACAAAGCCCAGTTATTTGGCCATAAATTCAATTTCGCCGGAATTGCTCAAATATGACTTTTATATGGCCACTTCAAAATATGCCTTGGTTTCGCACTGTTCTAGTTAGCGAGCGCCCACTGTAACCCAAATCCATGCGGATTGTTTGTTTTTGTTTTGCTTTTTGCTTTACTGCGTCTTTTGGTTTGATGTTTGTTTCAAGGATGCGAAATGGATGCATAGGACGCTGTTTGAATAACTTAAGAATCGTACGCATTGCTTGTATAGCAGACCTTATAAACTACATGCAATCAAATCAAAGTCTTACCTCAATTGCGAGCTAGAGCACCAAATGGCATTGAGGCTGTTGTTGTTGTTGTTGTTGTCGTTTTATTCAATGTTGCGTTCAATCAAAACACAAATCACACTGCAATTGTAAAAAATTGTATTTATTATGGACATGAGCACACACTTTCACGGCACAAACAATTAATTGACTAGATTTGTGTTTTTTTTTTTCTTGCTGTATTGTATGCATTTGCCCCTTCCTTGTTGCTGCCACCTCCTGCGTTCGAGCGATCAACAGCTGGCGGCCAGTCGCCAGAGCTGGTTTGCGCACACTTTTTTTTTTTTTTAATTTATTATTTCTCTTCTTCTTTTTTTGCACACCGTGGCGAGACGAACATAAAAAACTTTCGCTCAAAACGGATGCAGCAGGCGGCTCCAATAGGATTTGGCTTAAGAGCAAGCGGGTTTTGGGTTAGACTGTTAACTGGTTTCTGGTAACAGGAATTTGGACAGTGTTGCCAAATGGCAGGCAATTCATTAATTCGCGCAGAGAGCAAATAACAATTGTATCCGGTATTTTATTGAATTTCCTTTTCTTTGTTTTTTTTTTTCTAAACACATATTTATTTCACCTGAGTCATTTACACATTAGTTTGTTGTCGGTGTACTAATTTATTTGTTGCCCTACAAAACAAATATATATATATATGTATATTTTCGTATATCTTGGTTGATTTTTTTTTGCACTTTCTTTTGGCGCTTGTGTATTTTTACTGCTATGCAGGCAAGAAGTGATCTTTTTCTCTCTACGCTCTCTCCCTCTCTTTCGCCTATTTATAACAACTCACGCATACCGCACACACTCACACACACACACACATACACATGCCGCCGACACTCACACAACTTAAGCCGAAAGCAGCCAAACGTAGCCAACAACAACAAAATACACAGGTGAAAATTAGTGCAGCAATTTTGTGGTTGTCTTAACTATTATTGCTGTTGTTGTTGTTGTTTTCAGTTTGCTGATATAGCTGTATTTTTGCATGCGTACCACTAAAATATGAATTAAACAGCAAACGTGGATAAATTAAATGCAAACACGCACAAACCAAATACTAAATAGTTTACTTTTTTTCACGTTGCGTCGAGTCCTACGCATAAGTCTATGCTTTTTAATATTTAGAACACTTTCTTGTTATTAATTTATGTTTTCGACATACATTAAACATATAATTTTTCAAATTTATTCTCTCACTTTCGCGCGCGTTGTGGCTCGCGACGCTTAAACTTCGGCGGCAAAACAACAACTAGCGCTAGCATTGGTTCTTTCGTTTTATCTCTGAAAACTGTTAGAAAGCAAAACTGCGAGCGAACTGAGTAATGTGTTCTCCGGGCCACTGTTATGATTATCTGCACTGTTATACTCAAGTTGGCAATGTTAAAGTGATCTGTTAATTTTAACATGATCTGCTGTAGTCTTGAGCCTGGATTAGTTATATTATGGTAAATTAATAGGAATTTAACTTTATATATTGCATTTAGTTAAGAAAAGTGAAGTTTTTTCATTGTCTTGTTTCCCGTTAAAGCGATATTTATGCCTGCAATTATTATTTGCTAACTGTTATTAACAGATTATGTTTATGTTAATGCTAAACTGTTTGGCGCAATTTAATTTTCAGCCTAAACGTTAAAATGGCCTTAAATGGAAATTAAACTACTGTTTCAATTATTTTTATTTATTTTTAAGAAATAGAAATGAATGTAATGAATTGACAATACAATTAGGTTGAAATTGCAAACGATGACAACTTAAACAACTATTTTGGCAACTAAATGGACAATGATTATTTAAATTTGCTAAAAACGTACACAATTAAAAAATAAACTAAACTAAACGATAAGCAAGGCCTTGGTAATATACGGTGGGATTACATTGCAGTTTCGACTCATCTTAACTCAATTCTGAGAAGGATTATTGCATTAGAATTTTGTCTACATAACGGGAATATTAATCATATGATTTGTTGCTGTTGTTGCAAATTAGTCAGGAACGTGTAGAGGGCGTCGAGCAGCAAACCATGGAGACATCAAGTGAAGTGCATTCGTAGTGGCTGCCGCTGGGCAGCTCCTGGGAGCAGGCAAAATTAGATGTGCTGCTGGTTTCATTGAAGCCGCTATCCGTGCGATAAAAACCAATACGTGGGGGCTCAACACTGCCCTCCGGCTGTGGTGCCACATATTCTTCTATCTGTGGCTCGTCGAGCTGTTCCCCATCATCCAGCAGATTGGCGCCAAAGGATTGCGACAGATTCTTGCGATTTGCGGAACGATGTCGGCGATGTCCGCGTGGAGTATCCGAATTGGAGCTACAATTAAAACTATGCGTCGAGAGCTGCGACAATTGCATCCCATCCACATCCCCATCCCCATCTCCATCCTCATCTTCATCTGTCTCAAAATCAGGCTCTGCATCCACAGCAGCCGCTTCGTCATCATCTCGCTCGGCCAGCACCAGCTTTACCTCATCCAGGATGGACGTGTTCGGCAATTGCCGCGCACTATTCACGCGCAAACGGCTCACACGCTGATTGATGCTGCTGTCTGTCGAGTACTCCAATGCCATCGGTGATGAACTGCGATCGGGCGTAAATTTGCACGCCGCTCGCCCAGTGCCCGTGAGCTCCGAGAGGGTCACGTGCTCGCTGCTGGTGCTGCTCTTGTGCAGGCGTCTGCTCAAATGCTCCGACGGTGCTATGGGCGAAGGTAGCTCAACTAGGTCGTGCAGCAGCTGCTTTCGCCTGCGTGAGCTACCCGGTCCATTGCCATCGTCCGGTGTGCCCGGCGGCAGGCCGCACAGATTGCGTATGGGTGAGAGGCAGCCAAAACTGTTGGAGCCCTCGCCAGCCGAGTCTGAGAGGCGACCGGCGAACATGGTCTGCTTGGCCTGCGGACTGGAGCCCACCATTTGTGCATGCTGCTCGTCAGGTGGCAGCGGCTGCTGTTGCTGCTCCTGCGGATCCATTTCACCCAGCACTATGATATTTTGCAAATCGAACAACTTGCGACGCATGGAGCTGTTGAAGACATCGCCACTGCTGCCAGACTTGTTCAGTTGCATGCCAGCCAAATGTGGCTGCAGATAAGGACGCAGCGCTTCTTCCAAAGCTTTGGGCAGCACCGGCGGCAGCGTCAGTTCCGTCTGGACCTCGCAGTTGCGTGAACGCGGTTTGGTTTTATTCGATATGGGCGTATTGTCATTGATTTCATTGATTATAATACGCTGCTTGCGCAGCGGACAGTCAACGGGACTGGGCACTATGTGGGATTCCTTGAAGAAGGCACTGATGGCCAGTTGCGCTTTGGACTCCTGCTCGGGATCCGGCGAGTCATGAAATTGCGTCTCGTGTGGCTCCACATCGGCAGGCTTCAGCTGGGACACTTCCTCAATGTCCCATTCAAATTGCGTGGACGAGAGCTGCGGCGTGCCAGATCGACACTGAAAAAGCGAGGGACTAGCAGAGATTCGGATTATAAGCAGGGAAGTTGGCCCAAAATGCAGGCTACACCTAAACTAATATTCAATAAAAAAAAAAAAACTTACCTGGCAATTAGCGGTAAATGTAGACGCTCGGCCAAGGCGCCTTCGAATGGATTCCGCACCTTCTGCAATCGTTTGGGGGGCGGTGTGCAGGCTGTTGTGCACATTTGGGGGCTGCTTTTCGATTTGTTCGGTTTGGCGCCATTCGACGGCGTTGCAGACGCCGCTGCCGTGAAATTGTTGCCGCTGATGCTGCTGCTACTGCGCCTGCCGCTGGCCGTAACGCGGCATTTTAGCTCGTTTAGGCTGGCATAGTATCTGGTCTTGAGTGCTTGCGGCGTGCGCACCTCATCTGTGTACATTTTTTTCTACAAATATATTGAACAATTTTGGCAATAATTGATCGCAAATTTTACAAGTTTTATGCACCGCTGCCTGATGCAGGCAGCTGTCAGTATATTTCAAATGCGGCAGTGTTGCGAAACGACCTGAAGCGTTTATCGATAACTCCCGAGCGAACGTTGTGTGTTTAAAACGCAAAGCGCCAGCATATAAATCAAACAGCACATTTTCTATATAATTAGCTGTATTAATATATATTTAATTTGCTTATGCTTTTAATTAAGGGTTTTTCAATGTGCAAAGGACTCGATAATAATTTTAAATGCGCGTCATTTATCGAAATTATCGGGTATCGACTCTTTGGTGCTTACACATTTATCCAATATAACAAATTAAAAAATTCAAGAATGGAAGAACTGTGTCGTGTTTGCATGGAAAACTCTGATCTTTTGACAGATATATTTGCACCCCTAATGAACTTACAGACAAAACGAGAGCCTGAATTCAGCATGGCCGACATTCTCAACGAACTAACCGGCTGCCAAATGATTGTTAATTACAAAAGTGAACTGCCGCAATATATTTGCACAAATTGCATGGAGAGAGCAAAGGCGGCATTGGATTTCAAACGCATGGTGGAAAGGAACAGTGAACGCTTTGTGCAGCTACACAGCATATCCGGAGATCAGAAGTGTAAGGTGAAACTGAAACAGGAAGAGGACGATCTCATTGCCATCTGCAACATGCTCAATGCAGAGGACTTACAGCTTATGGACAACCTGGCGGAGGAGGAAACAAAAGAGTTGAAAATTGAATCGAATGCAACGCATCAGTACAACACCCGACGCAAGAGACTGAACAGATACAGCGTATCGAACATGAGCAGCAAGAGCTTCCTGAGCGTAAGCGGCCTGGACGATGAGGACGAGAAGAAGACATCTCTTGCATGTCCCCACTGCCAATACGTTCCAAGCAACAAGGGCAATCTGAAGGCCCATCTCCGCACACACACCGGGGAGCGTCCATTCCAATGCCCGCACTGCCCAAGGACATTCACGCAAAAGCAAAATATGACCGTGCACACACGCACGCACACCGGAGAGCGTCCATATAAATGTGCCGCGTGTCCCAAGTCCTTTGCTCAGCTAGCGGGCTTAATTGCCCACAGTCGCCGACGTCCATGGGATCACATATTGGAGTCGGAACATGCAATAAAACAAGACCGTCTTAGAAAACACCGTCGCAAGAAGGTGCACAGCTAATGATATATGATATATCGAATAAACCAAACAAGACCTGTCCACTTAAATATCAGCTTCATTCCATTTATTCTATATCAACCAGGATGGAGTCTGTGCTTACACTTTTTGTAAATATTGCCATTCGCCACGCGCGCATTCGATTACTATCGATATCATGACTTAGGCAAAAGTATCGACAAGCCTTTCATTTGATAAATAGGCGCAATTTTTGAATGCGCAATCTATTAACTCAAGGCAATCGTTCACTAAACGCTTACTAAATAGTTCATAATATTAAACTTAGGCAGCTGATAAAGTACATCATTTAATGATGCATCAAATACATTTGTATTTATTAGCTGTTGCCAACTGCAAACAAAATAAACTATGTGCACATAATCTTAAACAACTCAATCAAAATCTGGTTTTGACATTTGATAGCAATTTAATTGCGCTGATTAGTTTAGTTACTTTCTAAACGTTGGCGCAATATATAATTTGCTTCGAATATTGCACTTTGATCGGCAAATATTTATTTCGAATTAAATTCACTTTTACGATGGGAACTAAATCTAGTCTTATCTCAGTTTAATTTAAAAAAAAAAAAAAAAAAACTGCAATTCAAGCTCTAATTACACAAAATTCATTATTTAGTAAAAACCACAATCAAAGCTGTTAATTAAATAATAATAGTGCTAATGAAGCGTGCCATTAATGAATTCATTTCGAGTTTATTCACATGCCCAAATCCCTTCAATTTACATTCTACACTGAGCCAAAAAGCGCTATAAAAGCAAGTATATTTCATATTTGAGAAAAAAACAAATTAATTTAATTAAATTCTTATATATAAGTGCATAATTGTAATTAAGAACATTTAATCAAATTTTTTTAAACTAATTTCCTTTTAAGCGGAAATTTAGTTTTATTTTGTCTAAATTTCTTTGTTTCATTAAATGCATTTGTTTTTTAAGTAAATTTTATTAAAATAGATTAAAGTGCTTGTTTTGGCCGCGTGCAATTAAATTTCCAAAATTGAACAACAATAAATAAAAAATCTATTTTAGTGCGCTTTTTTTTTAACAATTGTTTGGTTTCGCTTAAATGATTAAATTAGCCAAAACAGCGCATAAATTAGCTAACCAAATTGCTATAAAAGCCAATTCGTGTGCCGCTGCTCGGCCAGATGCCGCTGAAGCAGGCTCCAGCTGCAAAGTTAGAGTATTCAAAAGAGTTTGGTTCATTAAATGTGCGAACATTGTGAGCGCATCCTTTGAGCTCTTGATCAATCGAGATGTGCGGCATTTTGGCCATATTCTCGCCGGACGGCCGAGCGATCCAGGCGCAGAGCGTGCACAGCCTGCGGGAGCTGGCGTATCGTCAGAGCGGCAAGCAAAGGCATCGCGGTCCGGACGACACCGGCGTCCTGGTTATAGCCGAGCAGGGCGTGGCTCTGGTGCACGAGCGTCTGGCTGTGATCGGCGTGGAGACGGGTCACCAGCCGCTGCAGTCCCGCGACGGCAACATCTCGCTGATAGCCAACGGCGAGATATACAACTATGTGGAGCTGGCCCGGCAGATTGCCACACGGCTGCCCGGTTATCAGCCGAAGAGCGACAGCAATGTGATCATCGAGCTGTACGAGGAGCACGGCGCCGAGCTGCTGCAGCACATCAGGGGCATGTTCAGCTTTGTGCTGTACGATCGCCGACGTCGGCAGCTGCTGGTGGCACGCGATCCTCTGGGCATCATACCGCTCTATATGGGCCACGATGCGGCGGGCAACATCTGGTTCGCCTCGGAAATGAAGTGCCTGACGGGCGTCTGCCAGCAGCTGGGCATCTTTCCGCCCGGCCATGTGGCCGCGGGCACTGTGGAGCAACTGCAGCAGCTGCAGCCGGTGCGCTATTACAAGCCCAGCTGGAGACGTGTGATGCCCACGCGGCAGGTGCAGCTGCAGGAGCTGCGTGCTCAGCTGGAGCTGGCCGTGCGCACGCATCTGCAGTGTGATGTGCCCTTCGGGGCGCTGCTGTCGGGCGGCGTGGACTCCAGCCTGATAGCCGCCATTGCGGCCAGGATAATGAGAGAACGGAATGCCGGGCACAAGCTGCGCACCTTCTCGGTGGGCATGCACGGCTCGCCGGACTTCGAGCATGCGCACCTGGTGGCCCAGCACATTGGCAGCCAGCACGAGGAGATCGCGTTCAGTGTGGAGGACTGCCTGGACGGTGTGCGCGATCTGATCTATCATCTGGAGTCCTACGATGTGGCCACCGTGCGCTGCAGTCTGCCCATGTTCTATCTGGCCAGGCACATCAAGAGTACGGGCATCAAGATGATACTCTCCGGCGAGGGCGCAGACGAAATATTTGGGGGCTATTTGTACTTCCACAAGGCGCCCAACTATGAGCAGTTCCACGAGGAGATGGTCACACGCTGCGAGCAGCTGCATGTCTCCGACATACTGCGCGCCAACAAGGTGACCATGTCCAAGGGCCTGGAGCTGCGCGTACCCTTCCTGGACACCAGCCTGGTGGATCATGTGATGAGCATACGGCCGCAGGACAAGATACCGGGTCCACTGAACGAGTACCTGGGCCAGCGCAAGTGGCGCATGGAGAAGTTCGTGCTGCGCCAGGCATTCGCCGGCGACTATCTGCCGGATGCCGTGCTCTGGCGCCAGAAGGAGCAGTTCTCGGATGGCGTCGGCTATGCCCTCATCGATGCCTTGCCCGAGTTTGCGGCTCGCCATGTCAGCGATGCCCAGCTGCTGGCGGCGCAGGAACGCTTTCCCATCAATCCACCCAAGACCAAGGAGGCCTTCTACTATCGCTGCATCTTTGAGGAACAGTTTCCGGGCGAAGCAGCTGCCAACACCGTAGAGAAGTGGGCGCCACGTCTGGACTGGGGCTGTCCAGAGGATCCCTCCGGACGAGCACAAACGGCACACGACCAGGCCTATGGAAAGTGTTAGGTGCAGTAGGGGGGCGGGGGAGGACCCCTTATTGGGTCAATTGTGTCTCCTTCTGCAGTAGATGTTTCTCGGGCTACAGGGTATTTTAATTGATTACATAAAAACAGATCACATTATATTTGTTGATTGAACACGAATTTAGCATAATTTTTAAAGATTTTTGCACAAAAGTATTATTAGTATCTAATAAGCTTAAAATAAATTTGCTATCGCAAAATATGTGAATTTATTCACAATTTATAATGAATATTCACACGCGGAAATTAATTGAACTTGAACTTGCCAAGATTCAATTGATTACAAAATATGTGCACAATAATAATAGCAATAGAAAAAAATCAATAATTAAGTGCAATCGGTTTAGCGCGCCACACTTTTGAATTTTTATTCGCACGTGCAGCTGCTCAATTAAACGGGGCAATAAGTCAATAAGAAAGAAAGAGAGGGAGTGCAACAGAGAGCAACTGCTACAATACAGAGAGCAATATCAAAAGAGAACGACAGTTTCTGTTATATCTAACAGCACTCAGTATATAACAATAACGTGCATTGATTGCTGTAATCAGATCTACATTTGTATATCAGATTAATTGCTGAAATAAAACTGGCATATGGCCATAATAAATGAACATAAATAAATCCCCTATAAAATGCAAAGGAAATTTAAATGAAATGAACATGCGGCAATTATAAATAAAACTAATTAATTGCAATTTGATTAAAAAGCCGCACTGCTACATTTTATTTCGCACGTGCGTCGAACAAATTCAACGGCTGCTGTTCTATTAAGCAGGTCAGTAAGTCAATGAGAGAGAGGGAGAGAGAGAAGTCAGAGAGCACGAGCCAGTGAGCGAAATCTTCTGTTATATGACACATAGCATAATGGGGCAATTGCTCAAATCAGAACTATTTCAAGTTTAATTGCCAAAATAAAACTGGCATATGGCCACAATAAAAGAATGAGCAGCACACAAGTAACAGCGAGTAGATAAATACGAAATGAAAACAAAAACGAAAAAACATGCGGCGACTAGAAAATGCCTGACGAAACTCGGCGGCTGGTGTCAATCATGCAAAGCCGAAGAGCGCCGCCTTCAAGAGCGAGCGCCGGCGTCGTCTATAAAAGGCGGCCGCTGCCGCCTCGCCGTTAACAGTTGCTCTTTGGCCACACTGCGTGACGGTAGACGATTTGGTTAGCGTAAAATTAACATAAGGAACAATGTGCGGTATATTTGCAATATTCTCCAGCGATGGCAGGCCCATTGAGACGCAGTGCTTCCAGGGCAGCAAGCACAGTTTGCGGGAGCTGGCGTATCGGCAGAGCGGCAGGCAGCGGCATCGCGGGCCCGACTCCACGGGCGTTGTGGTTATACCCGAGCAGGGCGTGGCCATGGTGCACGAACGTCTGCGCATTGTGGGCGTCGAAATGGGCGATCAGCCGTTTGTCTCCGACAGCGGCGACCTCGTGCTGGTGGCCAATGGCGAAATCTACAACTATCTGGAGCTATCCGCGCAGATTGCGAAGCGGCGCAGCGGCTACAAGCCCAAAAGCGATTGCCACGTCATATTGGAACTGTATCAGGATTACGGCTTGGAGCTGCTGCAGCACATAACGGGCATGTACGCCTTTGCACTGTACGATAAGCGCAGCAAGGAGCTGCTGCTGGCACGCGATCCCTTCGGCATTATACCCATGTACATAGGCGAGGATGCCGCCGGCAACGTGTGGATCGCCTCCGAGCTGAAGTGTCTGGCCGCCTGCTGTGACCGCGTGGAGACCTTTACGCCCGGCGAGGCGCGATTTGGGCGTGTCGGCGCCATGCGTCGCTGGCGCCACTTCGAGCAGCCCTGGCAGAAGCAGCTGCCCAGCCTGCCCTGCGACCTGTCGCTGCTGCGCGCCAGCCTGGAGTCGGCGGTGCGCACCCATCTCCACTGCGATGTGCACTTTGGGGCGTTGCTTTCGGGCGGCGTCGACTCCAGCCTGATTGCGTCGATTGCCACGAAAATCATGCGCGAGACCAATCCCAGCTACAGACTGAAGACCTTCTCCGTGGGCCTGCGCAACGCACCGGACTTTGAGGCCGCCCGCCAGGTGGCCAAGTACATAGACAGCGAGCACACCGAGCTAATCTTCGAGATAGACGAGGCCCTCGACGGCATACGCGACATTGTCTATCATCTGGAGACGTACGATGTGACCACGGTGCGCTGCAGCCTGCCCATGCTGCTGCTGGCGCGCTACATCAAGAGCACGGGCATCAAGATGATACTCTCTGGCGAGGGCGCAGACGAAATATTTGGCGGCTATTTGTACTTCCACAAGGCGCCCAACTACGAGCAGTTCCACGAGGAGCTGGTGAAGCGTGTGCAGCAGCTGCATTTGTCCGATTGCCTGCGCGCCAACAAGGTGGCCATGGCCAAGGGCGTGGAGCTGCGTGTGCCCTTCCTGGACACGGAGTTTGTCAACTATGTGATGAACATACGGCCGCAGGACAAGATACCCGGCCCGCTGAACGAGTTCAAGGATGAGCGCAAGTCGCGCATGGAGAAGTTTGTGCTGCGCGCGGCCTTTGCCGAGGACTATCTGCCGGATGCCGTGCTCTGGCGCCAGAAGGAGCAGTTCTCCGATGGCGTCGGCTACGACTGGATTGACAGTATTCGCCGCGTGGCCACCAGCCACGTGGACGATGCGGAGTTCGCGCAGGCCGCCGAACGATTTCCCTTCAACACGCCCACCACGAAGGAGGCGTTTTATTATCGCTGCATATTTGAGCAGCAGTTTCCGGGCGAGTCGGCGGCACGGACGGTGGTTAGATGGGTGCCACGCCTGGACTGGGGTTGTCCGGAGGATCCGTCGGGTCGGGCGCAGGCCGTGCACCAGAATAAATCGGAGCAATAAAAGACTGATTAGCTTAGGATTGCGTCATTGTATTCGATTCCAGGTAAATTCACTTGAGTACAAAGGCAAAATGAAACGTTTTGTGAATTCAACACAAAATTCTGTCAGGGCAAGCACAATTTGCGTTAAAACAAAAATGATAAATAAAAACAGAAAAAAAAACGTCTAGGTTTATTGACATTTGATATCTGTGCATTTGATACCGCTGATTATAGTTTTATCAGTGATACACATTGCAATTACGATTGCTGAAGCACCTGTGTTGCCTGGAAATATTTTGTTTATCAGAGCTTCATGTTTTAATCCATCGCAGGCTCAAGGTTATTTATATTTTTTAAAAACACGCGCTAATCGAAGTGCTGCCAGACTGTTGATAAAGAGCGGTGTGGTGTATCGTCAGCACACTTGCGATGAAATATCGATAGGGCAGCTACACATGCAACTCTGCATAATATATCGGTGTGGTTCGTATCGATTAATGGCAACAACCGATGAGCAAGAAGAGGCAATTTTTCGCAACGCGCAACAAAATCGGTGTTAAATTCTTATAAAAAGTGTAAAAACCATTTCACAAATAGGCTCTAGAACAACTAAACATTGAAAATGTGCAACAAAATGTGATGTTTGTTAAACAGACCAACCGCTACGCGGCCAAATTGCTAATGCAAATCTGACCCATGAGCAATGAGAGAGCGAGAGAGCAAGAGAACATACAGCCAAGCACAGCGCGTCACAGAAAAAGTTCACGAAATCAGCCAGCAACAGCAACAGCAGCAGCAGAGCAGCAGCAGCAGCAGACGAGACTTTGAAGACGTTGGAATTTGTGTTGAACCCGCGGCAGCCCGACGGCGCTGCGACTGCGACTGCGACGGCGACGGGGACGTACACCTCCAGCAGTCAGCAATCAGCAATAACGGTAGGCAGAGAAAGAGAGCAGCGATATAGCAACAACAAATGACATTTAATTTGCCAAAGTGAAACTGCGCGCAACAACAACAACAACAACAATACAAATAAAGAAGTGGGTGAGCGGAGGCAACAATAAGAGCAAAACTGTGATCTCTCATCTGGCAATTGTTCAATTGGCTGTGCTTTGAAACGACATAGAATTTATTTAATACGCGTATTTGTGAGCATTACAAATTGTTTGTTTAATTTCCAACTGGAAAATCAATTTTTAACATTGGCCAAGGCGGCCAAGCAGCAGCAGCAGCAGCAGTTGTTGTTGCTGGCGTCAGACCCAACCCAAAACAAAAATTGAGCGTAAAACGAAGAGAGGGACACGAAGAAGAACAAGCAGCAGCCGGATTTGCAAAAAAATGTGAGTATTTATTTAGACATAAGTATGTGTGCGTGAGTGTGCGTATCTGTGAGCGTGTTAAAAAAAGATCATGCAACTATTTGGCCAAGACACGCATTCGCATTCGCCTCCGCTTCCGTTCTTTTTCGTTTTTTTTTTGTTTTTTTTTTTTTTGTTGCTTTTTATTTGACATTTAAATTTGACAAATTTGGCCGCAGCCGCAATCTCGGCAGCGCAGTCCAATTGGACTGCGAGAACAGCTGCTGCTTGTTTTTCAAAGCCAGCGCAGTCGCCGCAGCCTTTAATCAACTGGCCATATCTTATCGTTTAGTTAAGAGTTAAAAAAAAAATACGTACTAAAAGTTGGCAGTTACGAAAGCTACGCCCAGCGCTTTGTAATAATTTCTGGCTTGCTGTTGCTGTTGCTGCTGTTGTTGTTTTATTATAAATAGAAAATTGCGTATGCAGTGCTAATTTGTTGCTTGTTCGCTCAAAGCTCTCTCTCTCTCACTCTCACTCTCTCAAACAAGTCGCTGTTGTTGCTTAGTAATTGACGACACACTAAACCTCTACCTCTACCTCTACCTCTCCAACTCGCTGCTGTCGTATTATCTCATTCAGCTATTTCCATAAATATGTTGAATTTTTCGTTGTTTTTTGTTGTTTTGCTTTTTGTCGCACTCTCTGGCAGCGCTGGCGGCCAACCATAGACGGCTTGACGTCGACGTCGCTGTTGCTGCTGCTGCTGTTAACAGCGACGCTAGCTATTTACCGTTTATGTCGCTGCCGTAACCAGAGCCAGTAACAGACAAACAGCAGCAGCGCCGCAACCTTTCTGGCCACATTGTTTTTAGTTTCAGTTTTGGCCATTTAACTGCCCGCTCACCACCCACAAAGTGAGCAGTACTCCTTGACGCCGTCACGCCTGGCGCGGTGAGATGATTCATAATTGTGCACAACGACGTAACAACGCCCAGCTCACACTCCACCACTCCTTCCCTTCACTAGCCAGGCACTCGTGTCATTCCAGCACTGCCATCTGTCCATGCCCATCCCCACCCGCATAGCGATTCACCTACTTTTCGCAGCCCAAACACTGACTTCATTTCTCACATACACACACGCGCACACACTGATACGCACTACGGCACTCACACCCACACATACGCGCACACAGACACACACAGAGGCACAGGCACATGCATAAACACAGAAATTGTTGCCCGCTTTGCACGTTTGGGCGACTGTTGCTTTTGCTTCTTCTTCTTTGCGTTGTGGGCGCAGCTGCTTCTTCTTATGTTTTTAACATGAGCGCGAGTTGTAATTGCGCGGGCTATTTGAAAATTTAAGCGACTACCACCCTGAAATTTTCTACTTTTGTAATTATGTAAATGGAGCCTATGTATTTTGGAATTTATTGGAGCTGGCGATGACAGTGGCTAAATTGGAGTGAGTCCATCAAGTGCCTCCTCAGTGAAAAGAAATCTATTGACTAATGGATTTCATCTCTCGCCCAATCGTCCAAATGAAATTGACCTGCATTGTGCTGGCTGCCGGCTGAGACTCGTGTGGCATAAATATTTAATACAATTTGCTCAGCCAAAAGCTAAAATCAATTTTTATCCATTCACTTTTATTGCAGCTGCAGCACAGAAAACACACACACAGACACACACACAATAATAGTGAGAGCGAAGGGGCAAAAGACAAGCGGAGAGAATGGCGTACCGCAAGCCAACCGATTTGGATGGCTTCATTCAACAGATGCCAAAGGCGGATATGCGCGTCAAGGTGCAATTGGCTGAAGATCTGGTGACATTCCTCAGCGACGACACCAATTCAATTGTCTGCACAGACATGGGCTTCCTCATTGACAATCTGATGCCGTGGCTGACGGGCAGCCACTTTAAGATCGCACAAAAGTCACTCGAGGCCTTTTCGGAGCTGATCAAGCGTCTGGGCAGCGATTTTAATGCCTACACACAAACCGTGCTGCCCCACGTGATCGATCGCCTGGGCGATAGTCGGGACACGGTGCGCGAAAAGGCGCAGCTGCTCTTGCGTGATCTAATGGAGCACAAAGTGCAAACGGCTCAAGCGTTAATTGACAAACTGGCCACCAGCTGCTTCAAGCACAAGAATGCCAAAGTGCGCGAGGAGTTCCTTCAGACACTTGTCAATGCCCTGCACGAATACGGAACACAACAGCTGAGCGTCCGGGTCTATATAATGCCGGTCTGTGCACTGCTCGGTGATCCCACGGTGAATGTACGCGAAGCGGCCATACAGACGCTCGTCGAGATATACAAGCATGTGGGGGATCGCCTGAGGCCAGATCTAAGGCGTATCGAGGATATGCCCGCCTCCAAGCTGGCCCTGCTCGAGCAAAAGTTCGATCAGGTCAAGCTGGAGGGTCTGCTGTTGCCCTCCGCCCTGCGCAATTCCAATGGCAATGGCCTGGACGAGGCGGACAACATTTCGCTGCGGGATCGACCCACAAAAATCGTAAAGCGACAATTGCACTCGGCCACAACGTCTACGCTGCGTCCAAAGCCAAGTGCCCACGATATGGCCGGCGATGCGGGCGCCGTCACAATGGACATTTTTGAGGCCAGCTTTGAGCAGGTGCCGCAACTGACTATATTCCATGCCAAGGACATGGATGATATATACAAGCAAATATTGTTAATCATTAGCGATAAAAATGCCGACTGGGAGAAGCGTGTGGATGCGGTCAAGAAGGTGCGCTCATTGCTGCTCATCAATTACCAGGCGCAGCCGCAATTTATGGTCGTGCAGCTGAAGGAACTATCGTTGGGCTTCCTGGACATACTGAAGGAGGAGCTGCGCTCGCAAGTGATACGCGAGGCGTGCATCACAATCGCGTACATGTCCAAGACGTTGCGCAATAAATTGGACGCCTTCTGCTGGAGCATACTCGAGCAGTTGATCCAGCTGATTCAGAACTCGGCCAAGGTGATTGCGTCCGCCTCGACGCTGGCACTCAAATATATTATCAAATACACACATTCGCCCAAGCTGCTTAAGATCTACACGGACACACTGAATCAGTCCAAGTCGAAGGACATACGCGCCACGCTCTGTGAGCTGATGGTGCTGCTCTTCGAGGAGTGGCAAACCAAGGCGCTGGAACGGCATGCGGTCATCTTTCGCGACACGCTCAAGAAGTCGCTCAGCGACGCGGACAGCGAGGCGCGACGGCACTCGCGCCTGGCCTACTGGGCGTTCCGGCGACACTTTCCCGATCTGGCGGACCACATCTACGGCAGCCTGGACATAGCCGCACAGCGTGCGCTCGAGCGGGAGCGCGATGGTGGCGCCTCGAATGGCAGCAGCAGCAGTCAGCAGTCGTTGGACTCGCGTCGCACGGTGGCCACATCGCGCATTGGACGCACAACGACCGCATTGCAGAAGCCGACGCCCAACATGCGCTCCATTTCGGCGGTGGACACGGCGGCGGCACAGCGCGCCAAGGCACGTGCCCAATACACGCTCTATTCGCGCCAGAAGAAGCCGGCGGCGAGCCTACAGTCATCAGCTGGCGGCAGCACAGCTGGCTCCGGCTCATTGCCGCGCCCGCGTCTCAATTCACATAGCAACAGCGGCGGCGGCGGCGGCGGCGGCGCCCATCAGACTGTCTCGCCGGGCACAGCGACGCCCAGCACACGGATCGGACGCACACGCGCCGGCGTCTCACAATCGCAGCCCGGCTCGCGTTCCACCTCGCCCAGCACAAAGCTACGCGATCATTATGGCATGGGCAGCTATTACAGGGGCGCCACAGGAGCTATACCCAAGAAGGCATCCGGCATACCGCGCAGCACGGCCAGCTCCAGGGAGACGAGTCCCAATCGCTTGGGCGGCGGCGGCGGCGGCAGTGGCATAATGAAACGCAGCATCTATTCAACGGGCTCCAGTGCGAGACGCACACCCGAACGCAATAATCCCGTGCGTAGCACAGCCGCATCACGTATGCTGGCGCAATCGCGCGAGGCGGAGCAATCGCTGGGCAACAATGATGCAGAGACGCCGGATTTTGTTTCGGGCGACTTTATGCGCACGGGCGGCATACGCATGGGCCGGAAGCTGCTGGGCCGTGACGAATCCGACGATATTGACTCGGAGGCCAGTTCGGTCTGCTCGGAGCGTTCCTTCGACTCGAGCTATACGCGCGGCAACAACTCCCTGTCCAACTACTCGCTGAGCGGTTCGCGCAATCGCCTCGACTGGAACAGCCAGCGGGCGCCGTTCGACGACATCGAGACGATCATACAGTACTGCGCCTCGACGCACTGGTCGGAGCGCAAGGATGGCCTGATCAGTCTCACCCAGTATCTGGCCGACGGCAAGGAGTTGACGCAACAGCAGCTGCAGTGTGTCCTGGACATGTTTCGCAAAATGTTTATGGATACGCACACTAAAGTCTACTCTTTGTTTTTAGATACGGTCACCGAGCTCATCCTGGTGCATGCACCCGAGCTCCACGACTGGCTGTTCATATTGTTGACGCGCCTGTTCAATAAGCTGGGCACCGATCTGCTCAACTCGATGCACAGCAAAATATGGAAAACGTTGCAGGTGGTACACGAGTATTTTCCAACGCAGCTGCAGCTCAAGGAACTGTTTCGCATCATTTCGGACAATACGCAGACGCCGACAACCAAGACACGCATTGCCATTTTACGTTTCCTCACCGATCTGGTCAATACGTATGGCAAGAGCAGCGATTTTCCCAGCGATCAGACGCAAAGCTGTGAGCGAACCGTGCTCAAACTGGCCCAAATGTCGGGAGATCACAAATCGATTGAGCTGCGCTCCCAGGCTCGCCTGTGCCTGGTGGCGCTCTACAATCTGAATACGCCGCAGATGACCAAGATGCTGGCCGCACTGCCCAAGGGCTATCAGGATACGGCACGCTTGTGCATTCAGTCGAATCTACGGCGACAGAGCAGCGGAGCCAATTCGCCGAGCAGCTCGCCGCTGAGCAGCAGCAGCCCGAAGCCGTTGCAGAGCCCCAGCGTTGGTCCGTTTGCCTCGCTCAATATGCACATGAATTCTAGTCCACGTTCGCGTCAATCCTCTGTGGAGCAGGAGCTGCTCTACGGCTGCTCCGAGCTGGAGGTGCAGCACAATATACAAAAGACCTCCGAGGAGATACGTTCCTGCTTCGCTGGCGGCCAGTATCAGTCGCTGGCGCCCAACGGTTACAATGGACACCATCTGCAGTTCGCCTTGGATCAGCAGCAGCAGCAGCAGCAGCAACAACAGATGACGGCGCAGCAGGACTCGCTGTCGTCCAACTCGAAAACACAATCGTCGGCCAATACAACGCAATCGAATACCCCGGAATCGGCCACCATGCGATTGGACACGGCAGCTCCGCCAATGCAACAGCCAACGCCCAAAGTATCTCTGACGATCGCCACGAATGGTGAACTTATATTGCCGGGTAATCTGTACGAGAGCGAGGTGATGCGCGTCGCGCTCACGCTCAACAAGGATCAGCCCGTCGAGCAGCTGCAAACGGCGCTCAACAATCTGGGCATTTGCATACGCGGCGGCAACTGCGAACTGCCCAATAAGCATTTCAAGTCCATAATGCGCATGCTGCTCCATATGCTGGAGGCGGAGCATACGGACGTGATCATCTCGGGCCTGCATGTGCTGAGCAAAATTGTGCGCAGCGACAAGATGCGGCACAACTGGCTGAACTTCCTCGAGCTGATACTGCTGAAGATCATCAATTGCTATCAGCACAGCAAGGAGGCGCTGCGCGAGATTGACACCATGATACCCAGGCTGGCGCCCGCTCTGCCACTGGATCTGACCATTAACATTGTCAATCCGGTGATAGCGACGGGCGCCTTTCCGGCCAATCTGTGCGCCATTAAAATCCTGCTCGAGGTAACCGAACAGCATGGCACCGAGATCACCGATGCCCATCTGGACGCCGTCTTTCCTAATCTGGCGCGTTCCGCGGACGATGTGCAGTCGATGGTGCGCAAGGCGGCCGTCTTTTGCATTGTCAAACTGTATCTTGTGCTCGGCGAGGAGAAGCTCAGTCCCAAGCTCTCCGCCATGAATCCCAGCAAGGTGCGTCTGCTAAAAGTGTACATTGACAAGCAGCGCAGCTCGAGCAATTCGGCCGGTGGCTCCACAAAGAACTCCTCGGCGGCCTCCTCCTCATGATTGCGAGCCGGCGGCACACACACACACAGGGACACGCCCACACACAAACACAAAGACACCAGCGCGGCTTTGTCTCTTAGCTTATGCAAAAAGTGAAAAGTTAATTAAAACAACAGCAAAAAACTGCAACAACAAACAACAAATACACACACGATTGATGATATATAACAATATAGAAAACACTAATTATTTATATATATATAAAAAAAAAAAAAAACAGAAAATGAAAGAAAGAAAGAAAACTAATTATTACTGATAATAAGCATTAAGCAATGCGACGATGCTGACAAAATCAATAATTGTGTAATTGTTTATTATTAAAACACGCAGAGAAAGTAAACCACAACAAAAAACAATTGTACCGACAGGCACAGAACAAACTATTTATACACGTCATTAACAAAAAAAAAAACAAAACAAAAACAGGAAACAAATTTAAATAAAAATTCAAATCTTGTAGCCAACAGCTGACAGTCTCTCTCCCAACACACACACACTGAAGTCTCTGCCCAGTTTTTATGCTTTCTATAATTAATATAGTCTTCTATCCGTATAATTTCCTTTAGTTATATAAGTCGTAAAAGGAACAGTTGTTTTGTTTATGTACGCTAAATTATTTTTAACGTCGTCCTGCCGTCATTCTGTTTAATTTCCGCTCAATTCTAAACACACGCGATTTCATCTTTTTTTTAACAACAAAACTATTTTTGTAATTAACTTAAAACACAAAAAAAAAAACAAACAATTTTAGGTTATGTAATAATATTTATAAATTAATAAAAACAGTTCAACTAAAGAAAAATATAACGAAAAAAAAAAAAAAAACGCTCCCAATATATAAACACCATATGCTGGCTTTTCTTTTGACTTCAGTCTCAAATAGAAACATTTGACTTGGATTTGTTTTTTTTATTATATTTATTTTGTTGCTCCATAAAATTTAAACGTTCAAATATGGTTTTTATGTACACAAGAACTTAATTTTAGCTACATGTATATATATATATAATTTTATTTACTTTTCGTTTCGTTTTGTTTCTTTAACTTTGAAAATATTTGATCGATAAAATGTCAACACTACGAAGTAGTTTTTTTTTCTTTTCTTTGCTTGTGATTAATTTAATTTGTTTAATTAACAACTAATTGTATTTTTTTTTTTTTTGTTTGCAATGGCTTTTCTATGCTTTGACTAAAAAACATTTTTGAATGTTTCATCGATGTGTGTTTCTTGGAGTTTTGGTTGTGCTTTTTTATTTTTGTTTTATTTTTTTTTTTGGGCCCTTTTGAAACCTGAACTGGTTGTTATACATAAAACTGATGGAATTTTTACAAATCTCAATATAGTATTTTGCTTCATATATATATATTTTTTTTGTGAAACTAAATTAAGGCACTTAAATCGAAATGAACTCGAAAATCAATAATTGCATTAATTGTTAGAAAATTAGAATTTGGACAAGTACAAAAAAAAAAAAGGTGCGCGTTGGTTATTTTCTAGTGCTATGCTTTGGTATGCCGATCGATCTAAAATTACCATTAGTAATGTTCTAATTTCTTGTATATAATTAACTAAAACGTAAATATCTTATAAAAAGTGTACTCGCATTAAAGTTATCCTTTTCAATGGCACATCTTTTACTAATTATAACTTGGGCCTAGGCTAGACGTGGCTAGAAAAAACCGACTACTTAAGAACTTTTTGAATACCCTAACACACGAATAGAAGTACAGCGAAGGAAGAGTATCAACGAAATGCATTGCTCTACGGTGTATGTACAGTGGGACAAAGTTGTCAACAGGCGCGCACATTTGTTCGTTCTAAGACATTCAACTACTTACGTTAAGGTATATTTTACAATTTGGCCTGTTTTGGGTTTTTTTTTTTTTGTTTTTAAAATGAATTTTTGCACGCAATCAACGCCAGCAATGCCCGCAATAAATACTCTACATCTGTGGCGGGCATTGCCGAATTTTGACCGAAAAAGGCACACACAGAGAGAATTTTAAATGACAAACGACTAGGACACAACTACATATACATATATCTAACGACTATATAACTATGCATGTGTGTGTGTGTGTGTGTGTGTGACTAGTAGCCATTGCAGCGTATTTCGCCGTAGCGCGTTCTGCTCGCACTGTAGGCCGCATAGCCGTAACGCTCATACGCCGCGTAGTCCGGATACGGATACAGCTGGACACGCATACGACCACGCGACATCTGCAGCTGGCTTGGGTAGCCATAGCCATGCTGCTCCTCGTACGGCCAATAGTGTTGCATGCCACCCGCCGCGTTTGTGGCATCATAGTAGCCATGGCCGCCGCTGCCGCTGGCGTTTGTGGCATATTCCTCGGCCAGCCGCTCGACGAGACTCTCGGGCGTTTGCAGAAACCGCTCGGAGAAGCGGCCTATTTCGGTGGAGCCAAACGCCTGCTGAAAGCCAGGCAAAGGCTTGATGTCCTGCAAGTACAAAATCATAATAATTATTTTGGGTCAAGTTATTTTATGACTAAATTTAAGCTGTGAGAAAGCTGCAAACCCTTTCGCTTCGAACCAGCTTCCTGTCTTAAGGCTTCGCTTGGGCAGATGACTTTTCGCAACCTCAAGCGCAGGCCTTAGTTCAAATTTTAGTTTTTTATAAATACATATTCAAGTTTTAAGTAAAACGAATCGATTTTAAAATTTACAACTGCCCGCTGTGCTGAAAATATTGCAAGTCGTAAATATTTTCATAAACAAAATGCGGGCTAAATTTTAGCTTTATTTCTTTTTTTTTTTAAATTAAGAAATTCAAATTGAAATCGCTTTTTAAATAAAGTTGAACTAATGTAAAAAAGATAGATTGAAGAAGAAACAAGCGAAAATTGATTAAAAAATCTTTTATTTTTTAATTACCAATTCGTAAACTCATAAATCAATCGCAAAATAATTTCGAAACGCTTCCAAAACATAAATAAATAAAAATAAATAATTATTAAATTCTTTAAATATTAAAAAAAATATATTAATAATAATAATTAACAATTTTGAAAACCTGCGCGCATTTATTTAAAGCGTTTCAAATTTAATAGAAAAATTGATAAGCAAAATAACAGGAGGTTGGTGAAGGGTCGAAGGGGGGGGGGGGGCAACATTTAAAAACTGGAATTTCACATGACAGTTTGAGCTTTTGTGTTATTTGTTCACATAGTATATTTGCTTGTGTGTGTGTGTGTGTGTGTGTGTCTTACCCTTATTTGCTCCCGCACCGTGGATTCGGTTGCTTCCACATTCTCCGTTTCCGTTTCCCTTTTGCTCGCTTTGCGTTTTGATTTCTTGCTCGGTATGAGATCGCATTCGATGATGCGATTGTTGTTGTTGTTCTGGTTGTTGTTGTTGTTGTTGTTGTTGTTGTTGTTGTTGTTGTTGTGGTTGCTGCTGCTGCGATTTTTGGGCGTCGCATTCCGTTTGCTGCTAACTGGCTGCTGCTGCTGCTGCAGCAGTGGCGCCAGCGCAGGTGGCACAGTGCTTGCTGAGAGTCCATAGCCCACAGGCGAGTTCTGGGGCGCGGGCGGAGTGCGCGGCCGACGCAACGTTGGACTCCAGCTGTGAGTTGTTGCTGCTGCTGCTGTTGCTGCCCGCTGCTGCTGCTGCTGTTGGTGTTGGTGTTGGTGTTGCTGCAAGTGCAACAAGAACAATAAAATCGATTTAGTTTTTTAGCTGCAACGCTCGACGGGGCAAAAAAGTTGTTACGCTCAAGTGGCGGGCACTTGAAACTTGCCAGCGCAGGTGCCCCGGCTGTGCTGAAGCCCTAGCCAGCAGGCGCGTGCTCGCTGCTCATGTTGTCAAGCGGCGGCAGCAGCAGCAGCAACCCCATAAAGGGGCTAACAACTTCTCCCTAACCTCCCTGGCACCCACACACACACAAACACGCCCACCCACACAGTCGCATTGAAGTTCAGCGCAGCCCACAAAAATCAATAGGCGCCCGTTTGCGGCTGCTGCTGCTGTTACAGACGAGGCACCCTGTTAACAGGCTTCCGGCAAGAGAGCGCGCTCTGTTAATGCGCACTCTCTTTTGCGCTCTCCCACACTCACGCTCTGCTATTGAGGCTGCTGCTGCTGCTGCTGCTGCCTAGAAAGCCGGTCGATGGAGCTAAACGCATTTCGCTTTGGGTCTTCTCTTTACAGTCGGCTGCGACTGCTGCGACTGCTGCTGCGACTGCGGCTGCTGCTGTAACGGGACATCTCTATTGTCTGTGCTCGTCTGTCATTATCAGCCCGTCTTTTGCTTTCTTTTTTTGGTTTGGTTTTTGGTTGCTTTGCCCTAATTTGTCTGCGTTGCCCAAACGAGCAGCTGTCACCTGTCTGCCGTTTAATTAGAGAGCACCCCGCTGTCTCTTTGCTCCCCCCCACCCCCCTCCACTAGTTTGCTGCAGTTTTAATTTGTAATTTTGCGCCAATCTTGGCATAACTTACCCCAGCTGCATCCTCGTTGATTTGATTAGTTGCTGGCTGCTGCTCGACAATATCCTGTGGCGTTGTTGACGCCTGCTTGTTGGGCTTCGTCAAATTGATTTCCGTACGCCTCACAACTTCCGGCTGCTCGTCGCTCGCCGCCTTATCAATATCATTCACAATAGGCGTTGCTGTTGGCGGCGACGACGACGTCGACGTCGCTGCTGTCGCGCTTATGTCATCTGGAAAATTAGCAAGCAAAAAGGCGCCCAGTCAGGCAACGTGTGTTAAAAGAAAATCAATAAAGATTGCTTCTTTCTTTCTTTTTTTTTTTTCATTTTTAGTTGTATATTATTTGTCAGGCCAGGCGTCTGTAATTATTTTGTCAAGGTTCGGGAACAGGTTGACCAACGCGAGAGAGACGCGATTATTTTTGTTGTTTTTTTTTTTTGTTAGTATTTTTTTTGCACGCGCTTATCAAATTGTGATATCGTTCATGGCTTCGGGGGTAGCTAAGAGAGAGCGTCAACAACAGAGAGAGAGCGAGAGAGCCACACATCAACATGCACTTGTTGAACGTGTCGAGCACACAGACACACACACACATGCACTTTTATTGGAGTATAAAAAATGATAGCATGCTTTTCAGCGCATGCGACTGAGCCTGCAATGTTTACATATTTTTGTTGTGGCCTGCGATATTCGCTTCGAGCTCTTGTTATTGTAATGCCATTCGCGTCAAACAAATCAATTATAATCAATTTAAAGGCCGATAGTGTCCAGTGTATATGTGAGGGCAAATGCAGAGAATATTGTATTAAATATGATAAATTAAATATTTTTTAGTTTGCAATACACAATTACAAATTCAAATTGAATTAAATGATAAACTTATTGAATGTGCCTGTGTAATACAAAAAAAAAATTTATAAATTGACACGCAAATTGGTTTTAATCTTTGCATTTAAGTCAATTAATTATCATTGAGCATTTACTGCTTATACCAAATACTTGCAGAAAATAGCATAATCTACTCTTGTCTTTACTTTCTTGGGCTTGATTTGAGTACTCCTAAGAAAAAGATGTCACATATTGAATACTATACAGTTTAAGCGTCCGTTTTATGGCAAATCCTTGTTGACTGTTTGTATTTGCATGCCTCAGTTGATTCGTCATAACGGACATTGATTTTTGCGTCAATGCTGGATACCTCGACCGCCAGCAAATATTGCAAGACCGGAACCGGGCTGCTCCCGGGGTGTCTCCTCTGCGTCGTGCTGTATGTGTTGGGCAAACAGCAGCTACAATAACCCACCACAGAGCGTTGTAAAGTTCATTTACATGCTCGGCTGTGATGACATTTCACGCACACATGCTCAACCTAAACACCCTCGCAACAGCTTAAGTATATATGTATGTGTGTGAATGTGTGTGTGTGTGTGTACAAGTTGAGCGCCCATTGATAAGGACGGCATTGCCCACAAGTCTCGTTTACATTAGGAAATATTTAGAAAAGCTGTCAAATGTTGGGGTCGGGATCGGGCCTCTGTGTGCCAGTATGTGTGTGTGTGTGTGTGTTTGTGGAAGCCACACACTTTACACCTTCCATATCCAGTGCCGCGCTGTGTGAATGTTCATTCTCTCTCTCTGTGTGAGTGTGTGTGTGCGTGTGCGGGTGTGTGCTTGTGCCTGACGCGACATCAGAAAAGTTAACTTATTGATTTGCACACACGCCCCTGCCAAAAAGTCAAATCAAAAGCAACTCATCAAGGAGCACAACCCGAGCTCCTTCTCAGCCCAGTCAAGCGGACGCCCAGCCTTTGCGTGCCTAAATAGACAGCTAATTTTGAAGTCCTTTAAAGCGACATGACGTAGGCTCGTCACAGCTACCTCGAAGCCACCCGCGCCGTGTGGCACAGCTTGTGCTAAGTCGGGCCGACAGGAAGCGGAAGCATTTCAGCAGTTAACCAAACGCTGATTGGTTGAGTGTTTGCGAAATGTCGACTCCACGAGGCGGCTGAGACTGACCGTTTGTCGTGTCAAATGGCTGCAAATGCCTGACGGACAGTTGCCTGTCAGTGCTTGGCGCTGACGAAGCTGGCGAGGCTGATGGCCGCGTTGATGGCAGCTCGAATGGTGGCTCTTTGCATTCATTTGCATGCAAAATCAAGCATACGCAGTGGGGTACACGCAAAAAAAAATACCACCGCCTGCTGCTACAGTGGAATATTTGATAGTGTTGACATTTATAATTGAATAAAAAATGTGCTGTACAAATTTTATTTACTCAATTAATATTGCTGTATGGAATGTCATTTACTGGACTGGCCGTGTGAAATCTCTCCCGGAACTTGATCTTATCAAATGTAAGCGTACATTCTAGCATTATTACATTCTGTTATATTCAGTATTGAATGTTACTGTTAGATACTTAACATGCATCATTCATCTAGATACAGTTAATGTAAAAGCTCTTGTGTTAACTGACAACTGCTGCCAAATGTTACTGCTAACATGCATCTGTTATTTAAATAGGCTTACTTAACAGTGCATGATGCAGCACTCTATCTTTTGCACTATCTCTCTCTCTCTCTCTACTTTCTCTCTCTCTCTCTAAACTGAATACTATCAGTAACATTCTTATATTCACTGCCAATAATTGCATTATGTTGCCAAAAACTTAACAGAAATGTTAATGCATTCTCTCGAAACTTGAGCTTACTACTTAATTATAAAATATTTTATAAATGTAATCAAACTGTTTTACTGCTAACATGCATCTGTAAACTGAATTGGTCTCCTTATGTTAACCTTACAGTTAATGTTAAGCTCACTGTAAACTGGATCTTCTCAGCGTTAACATTCGCCTATAGTCATTTACTCAGTTAACAGCAATTTTCTTTTAAACTGGTTTCCACGGTGCCAAGGTCCGTTGCCCACTTTACAGCTGCTGTCGCTTATTTTGCCATAGCCAGAGGCGGGAGGAATTAATACTTGTTACATAATCTAGTCTGACATATGTTTGCATAAATTTACAATGATTGCCCCGCCCCACCTCCCCACCTCCTCTGCATAATTGTAAATTAAATGGAGCGTAAGGCAAATACTGACAACTTACCGGGCATTATGGGGGGCGTGGCATCAGCCGTTGCCTTGTGCTCCTCCTGCTGTTGCTGCTGCTGCTGTTGCTGTTGTTGCTGCTGCTGTTGTTGCTGTTGTTGCTCCTCCTCGTAGTCTCTGCCATCGGCGGAACAGTGATAGGAGACACAGGACGCCGACTCCACAGACATATTCACGGGATACTCGCCACTGTAGACGGGCGTGCTCTGGCTGCTGTCGCTGCGTGCGCGCGTGCTGCAATTGCTGATGCCGCTGTCCGTGCCGGTGGCACTGATCATTGGCGGCGATGTGGTCAGCCGCTGTGGCGGCGATGTGGCCTCCGCTTCGTGCTCCAGCTTGATCTGCTGCTCCGGCAGCGTCTCCTCCAGCTTTGGCTGTGCTGCCGCCGCCAGTTGCTGTTGCTGTTGCTGCTGCTGCTGCTGCTGATGCTGATGCTGCTCCGTATAGCTGCGCAAGGGTTCCAGATAATTGGGTGGCAGCACTGTGCGATTGGGCGCCGGCGTTGTGGAGCGTCCGGGCGGTGCATAGTGTGTGGGCGTGGCTGGCTGATAGGCGGCAAAGCCACGTGCCTGTCCATAGCCGGAAGCACTGTAGAGCGCAGGCGCGGGCTGCTCATAGCCACCGCTGCTGCTCGGCTGCTGTGGCTGATAGGCGTGTTGCATGTGCGGATGTGGGCGTGGCGGATAATGTAGCACACTGGAGGGTATCAGCTGCTGGCCAGCGGCCGTGAACATGCCCGCATGCTGATGATGCGACGGCGGCTGACTATAATGCGGCGAGGCATACGGCGCATACCGATAATAGCTGGGCATATAGGAGCCAGCGCCGGCACTGGCATATCCATAGCCATAGGGATTATAGGCGCCGCCATAGCCACCGCGATAGCCGGGCGGCGCATAGTGCGACATGGCTGCCTGCGCCTGAGCCTGAGCCTGCGCCTGCGCTTGAGCCGGATGCAGCTGCTCGTAGTAGCTGGCGGCGTATCTGTCTGACATGCTTGCGGAAGGGATGCAATCTAGTGGCCACTTTCGTGCAGCAACAATAATAACAATGGCAAAGTTGACTGCCCCGTCCCGTTTATTGTTGTTCTTGTTGTTGTTGTTGTTGTTGTGGAGGCCATATTGCGTCGCCTTCGCTGTGTGGTCAATGGCGAGGATATCCTCTTACATGTGTCTATTATTGATTTTCTTGTGCTTTGCCTTGCGTTTCTTTTTTTCTTTTCTTCTAGCAAATCCCTTTCAGCTCGAGAGGGGTGCGTGTGTGTCCTTTGTCCTTTTATTTATGTTGCCTGCAAGTGCACAAAGTCAAATGTAAGTGATGTGTGCAGAAACTGTGCCCAGGTATTTGACTGGGCTGTACTTGAGCTCTGAATATTTGATAGTTGTTTGTGGGCCAGCCTAGCAGCTGGATGGCTTGATAATGCGTTAATTTGCACACATTTTGTGTTTCTCTATGCAATTTAATTAATGTTGAACAATAATATTTAATGCCCCGGCACACTAAAGCCGCAGGACATGACGCCCAAGGACATACAGCAGCAGACGCCGGAACGAATTAACATGCGAGAGGCTGCTCCGGCATCGCATTAAATTGTGAACGGCCATCAAGTAGATACAAATTGCATTTTAAGTGCAAGCCCCTTTAATTATGCTCTGCAATTTTAAGCGACTATTTTGCCTGGGCTATGCTCCTGACAGCTGCCAGTCCCTATTCAGCTATGCCAGGCAGATAACGTGGCTTGTAACTTTTGTAACCGGGCAGACGCTGTTAGCTGTTATGTTAACAGCATGTTAAAGGTGTGCGGGTCTGTTAAAGCGGGTTTTCGTTTACAGGCTTAGCTCTTGCATCCAAAAACATAACTTTGTTTTATTATGTATAAGATCTTTTGTATTTTACGGGCTAGTCACATAAAAAGAAGAGCTACGAGACGAAATGGAGGTAGCCGCAGATATAATGATGATGTCATTTAACAAGCACATCGACATGGTGAGCACGCAAATTCAAAGTAACTTATTTGTACTGCTCTCCTATGCGATTCTCAGGAATTCAAGTAAGGCTTACAAGTCAGCATGCTTATCATGCCTATCGATCTAACTACACTTATCTCTCGATCCAGACCATTTTCGACCTCCTTCTCATTTTCGACCTCTCCCTAACTGTCTGTTTTATTTAATTGTTTTCTCTTTCTAAGCCAGCTCTTACATTAGCTAATTTTTTAATACTCTTTTTCTTTCAGTTATGCGAATATGTGGAGTTGTGAATTTCAGGTAAGTACCTATTGACATATCAATTGATGTACGCATAAGAATATATATAAAGACAGTTTATCTCCTGGTGAAATATATTTTAAATAGAGTATTCAGAAGTAGGCCTTGTCTGTGTGTCTATTCCCATTCCTGTGCAGCTCTGACTGTTGCAATTTCCAGTTGAGTACATTTAAGCCGAATGCCGTGCTGTGCTCAACAAGATCAATAAACCAGGTAATAATACTGTTGATTAAGCACGATACAAATATTTAACTGAAATTCTCTCGAAGCATTTCGAGTTATTTGGAAATGTAAGGTGCATAAATGCAATTCCTGTGTTCAGCATAAATGTGGTTTGCATTGGGCGAATGTGTGGCTGCCATCGAAGATTGTTGATGGATGCCTGCTTAGCCGCATGATGGGCACCTGCTGTGCTGTGCAGTGCAGTACAACAAACACAACAACAAGCCACTCAACTCTGCGAATGTGTGTGTGCGTGTGTGTGTGTGCGTGTGTGTGTGTGCATTAAGATGAATGCATGAGAACCGCAAGCAATTTGGCCGCACGCAAACCGTTAATGAGCCACAAAAGTGCATGCATGCATAGAACCAGAGAGCGAGAGTGAGAGACAAAGAGAAAGAGAGAGGAGAGTAAGAAAATGGAATATGAAGCGGCTGTCAGGAGCAGCAGCCGTAACCAGGCAGCAAATTCGTATGTATGTATGCGTGGGAGCTGGCGATTGACGTGTGCCATTTATTGATTAATTAGAGTGTGTGTGTGTGTGTGTGCGTGTTTTTTTTTATTTTTGCAAAACTCAACCTCAACATTTTCGAAGGCGATTGATGAATCGGGTGCGTCCGCTGCAATGGCAGGCAGGTTTATTGATTCGGCTCTTTTAATTTTTTTTTGTCTCGCGAATGTTGACTTTGAAGATGCCCTGCTGCTGGCCGCAAAAACAAATTAGCGAAACAGCGAGAGCAGCATGTTGATAAGGGGTTTGGTGGATGGCATGGGGGGGGGGGGGGTAACAGAATAGCAACTCTATTAGCAGCCAAGCGCTGGATAACATAATCAATGTAAACACGCGCTGCGAACAGTGAGCAGTGAGCAGTGAGCAGCTTGAGAGAGCGCCCAACCGGCAGAGAGCGCTGGCGAGAGAGCTTTTTGGGCAATTGAAACGGGTTATGTTAAGTGCGTGTGCAAGACGCAAACTGTAAACTGTAAATGAAATGAGCCTCGAAAATGTGTGAAGCAACTGCAATGGGGACTAAGGGCTAATACTCTCTTTCTCTCTCTCTCGCTCTCTCTCTCTTACTCTTACGCTTGTGCGTTGCAAGTGAACAGCAGGAAACGGAAGCTGTGTGGCATGAGAGGCTGCCTGCCTCTGTCTGTTTCTGAGTGTGTGTGTGTGCGTGTGGGTGTGTGGGTGTGTGTAACGTACTGTTTTGGGACAGCAACAGCCGCCCAGTTCCAGCGCATATAAATCAATAAAAACACACAGCAGCCACGCCGAATCGAGTCGAGCTGCTCAGCGCAGCTTCATTAATGCTTGGCTATGCTCTCTATACATTTTAACAGTTTCGTTGCCCAGCACTGATGCTAGTGTACACATACAAGTACAAGAAGTAACACACAAGCAGTGTAATTGTTACGTTGACGTCCTTACTCGTACGTCAGAATATGCGAGCACCCTGGCGCACTTGAGCTTGCAAATATTGACAGTGCCCGAATGTATGCTGCAGTTTTTTTCTTTCTTTCAAAATGCAATTTTAATTGAGAGCTGCGTGCATGTGTTGTTATTATTGCTGTTGTGTCTTGTCGTTATTCCTATTGATGCTATTCAATAATTGGGGCAAGTGCATGAAAGAGCGCAAGCTTTGAGTGTGCGAAAAACATAATGAGAAAGGGATTGACATTATTGTCTATGCGATTTGGATCACCTAAATAAATTAGAGCTGTTTCTCACATGCACAATTAAGGAAATATTAACTGAATTATAATTAAAAATAAATACTTACCAAAAATCACGTAGAAGTTAGCTCTTCACATATATAACTTAATTGTTTATTGCAATTTTCGAATTCAATATTGTATTTAACGAACTTGCATTTTTATTTATTCGCTTTCAATTGTAAGTTGTTCAATTCGAAATACCGTTATATTTTGAAGTGTTGCGCACGAATTCAAAATACTTTTATTGTGAATAGTCGCTACTCACTCTCTTCGCACTCTCGCGCAAAATTCGAAGAGCGACAACGCGGCAAACGATCAGAACTGCAAACACTCGTAGTCGCACTCGCACTCGCACACATTTACATTCGCATTCACATTCACATTCACATTCGCATGGGCATTGCCAAGTGGCGGTGCCGACTGTTTAACCCTTGAATGTGATTGCGTTATGTATACGCTGCGTGTGCTAACCGCGCCAAAGTCCAACGTAGACTGAAATGCGATACGGCTGGCGCGCTACCATTTATACACTGGCAGCCTCAGCGGTGTTGCTGTCGTACCCCCGAAAAATAATGAAGAAAAGCTGGCAAAAGACGGCGGCGAAAAAGCAGCGAAACAACAACAAAAAGGGGGGAAGCAAGAATGAAAAAGAAAAAAAAAACGGCACATTGGCTGTGCTGCACTGGGAACCCAGCGCAAACTGTGTGACCCGATTTGATGGGCAACCTGCCCACATACGCGCTGCTTACGGGGCGAGCGAGCTTTCGTTGGGTTCGCGCGGCTGAGGGACAGAACGAGAGAGCAAGATAGAGAGGGAGAGAGAGAGAGAGAGAGTGAGAAAGAGCGAGCGCGCATTTGGCAATTGCAATGGGGCGAAACTCGCTCGCAAATGTCATTTGTAAATTCACTTACTTTGCTTACGAATTAGAGCACAAAACAGAAACCGAACAAAAACAGAGCGTGCCAAAACAAAAACCAGAGAACTTATCTCAAAATGCGCAAGAGTAGGTGGCAGAAGAGAGCGAGTGCGCAGCCAAGCAGCAAATGCCTGCCTGGGGGTTTCCCTGGTTCAGTGCTAGTCATCTTATCAATGGGTATGTATGTGCCTGGTTTATTGATGTCTCCGGATAATACATTCCATAAAGTATAGCACATATTAAGGGGCAGTTTGCATCGAACGACACCTGCATTATTGCCAAGTGACACTTACCCTATGACATTCGCCCTCTGGCCGAAAATGATACATAATTATATCTAATTGCCGGAAAAATAAACACATACATATATAGGCTCCCACACACACACACACACACATACACACACGCGCGAAACATCACAGTCAATACGCGCCATTATTATTGATTGAATCTGGGAGAGAGCTCAAGAGTGCGCAACTCTCTCTCTCTCTCTCTCTCTCTCTCGCCGCATATGCACGTGTTGTGTAGTTTGCGGTATTTACAGTCAACACGAAAGCCTCCAAGATATTGTGGGCGACGATGCGTCGGTAAAGAAGAAGAGGAAAAGAAGAAGAAAAAAAACGTAAACAAAACGTGCGCACGCAATGCTATTACACAGTGGGGTAGGGTGCAGCATAGATGGATGGTGAAATACCCAGTTAGCAATATAGTCAAGGGTGTTTTTGTTATTGATTCAGCAGACGGCATACAGGGTGTGAGATGCCAACAGCAACTCCCAGGCACAGCATGCCAAAATAAGTCCCAACTTCCATATTTGTAAAAAAAGAAATATATATAAATTTATAATAAAAAGGAAAATATATATTTTTTAAAAGAAAACAAATATTATATGCATGCATTTATCGCTTCGTATTAGTTATATTTAATTTAAATAGATTACACAATGTAACATTTATTAATTTCTTCATTATTTGGAACAATTTGGTGTCACCTGCAGGCTTACCTGCACGCGCACTCTCCTCGTCAGCAGCTTTCGCAGTCTTTAAATACAGCCAGCAGAGTGAACAAAAAAAAAAAACAAAACGTAAAGCAATAAAGCGGCTTCTGCATAACAAAAACAACATCTAGCCAAACCAATGGGCGCCCATGCAGTCACGCGTCCATTCCGTTTGACAGACCCAGCACCATTCGAAGCCGCAGCCGGCGCGTGTGCAGACCATGTGCATGCAGCCACCTGGAAGAAAGTTCAGGTGAGGGCTCTATAAAAAGTCTATCTGTTGTATAAGACGCTGTGCGGCTCACCGTCTCGTTCCGTGGGCGTGCGACATTTGGGGCAGGGTTTGGTGCTCACTTTGATTGTCACATTGCTGGCCTCTTCCCAGCGCGCCTCCGCCGCGCGCTGTCACGAGATGCAAAGTTGAGTTTAAATTTAGCTGCGAGGGCTGGAGCTTATGCTACTTACATTTGGATCCACCGTGTATTCACAGGAATTTGGTGCGCTGCCGGTGGCGCCCTCGGGCAGACATTCGCCAATGTGATAGCCCTGCAGGCAGTTGCGACAGAACACATAGCCGCAGCCGTTCTGACAGGTCACCTTGCGACAATCGGGCTCCACGAGCAGACCCATGCCACAGCCCGGCTGTGGACAGAGCACACCGCCCGCCTGCAGAACAAACTCCTCGGTAGCGAAGCGCTGGTACCGCTCGTACTCCTCGCGTGAGAGCAGCTTGAAGTGATGGATCTCCTCGATGAAAGAATGCTCACAGCCTGCCGGACAGGGCAGTGTGTAGCCAAAGTCCGGATGCGGCATAAACTGGCGCTCGCTGAGACGCGAACGGCAATAGTCGCGAAAGCAATCGATGCAGGTGACGTGCTGCGAGGCGCACGGAAAGACCAGAACCGTGTCGCTACAAAGAGATAGAGCGTAAAAATAGGCAGCCAGGCGTTGCTGATGCGCTCACCTGACCTCCGTGCAGGCCAAGCAAGGCACATCTTTGATATTGTTCTTGATTAAATTTAAAGGCGCCGCGAAGTCCTTTTCTCCGCCCGAAACATGCTCCGCACACTTGAAGTAGAACTCGGCAAATGGCGGATCGCCCGCCTCGTTGTCCACACAGGCGATTTCGAGACTCTCGCAGTGGCCACGTATGCGTCGCGACTTGAGCACATCATCCCAGCACTCGGGATCGCGATGCACGGTAAAGGCGCCACCCTTGCAGAGGGCACACCTCACACGCAGCTTGCCCTTGCACAGCTTGTTGCACTGCCCGCAGTGGACAAAGAAATGCGCCTTGGCGCGAGCACGTTCTGCGAAGGTGCCCGATAGATAAACAATGATACGAGAATTTCCACCAGTTGCTCACCCTCGTCGGTGATGTTCAAACGCTCCTCGCTCTCCAGCTGCAGGTCGAGCAGCGTTTCGTTTAGCGGCTTGGACGGCTCCTCCGGACTGGACTCTTCCTCCAACAGCATGCTAGCCTTGCGTTCCCGCTCCCGCTGCACAGGCGGACGCAGACGGATGGCGTGCAGCACACTCTGCTGGCCAAGATCACATTGCTAATGGAGCACAGAATCCATTATTGTGATGCAGGAGCATTATGGTGGTTGCTTACCTCGATGGTGGTTGCATCGCTCAGCTCCTTGCCCGCAAATATGATCTTCACCTCCTCCGGCTGAAGTCCCAGCTGTGGCGCCACCAGCTCCTTAACATTTTTGATATCCCACTGCGGCTCCAAGTTGACGGACAGCGTGCGACCCGTATTGGTTTTCACGTAAATGCTCAGCGTGTGCGTTAATTTGCCTCCAATTTGTAGCAGCTCCAGCATTTTGCGTACAAAAGCAGCAATAAAATTGAAAATAAAACTCATTTAAAACCGCAAGAGATAAAATAACATAATCTAAATTGTACTATCAATTCTGTAATCAATCACGGGTACTTTTCGGTATCTTGTCACACCACCTGTGATTAAATATGGACAGTAGCATATGCGGAGCCACAATTCGTGCCTCGTATTTTAACGTTATTTAAATTTAATATTAACGCAGCATTTATTTAATTAAATATCATTTGCACTTGCTTTATAACTTGTGCTGTAATGTATTTTAACGTTTACAGTCACTGTTATTCAAATGTAACAGTTAGCAGCTGTTTCACTGCTGTTGTCACATTGCAACACTTACTCATTATACAACACCGAAACAGTCAGCTGTTGTCTTGCTCTGCCATTCGCTTGTCAACGTCGGCGTGTACTTAAGCGCGGTAATATTGGAAATAGAAATAGATAGATATCAATATACATATATTTGTTTTGTGCCAGAGCTGAGTGTAAATATGACAGATTTCATGATAAAAGAAGTCAGTGGTGACTTATTTTCGGCTGGTCCAGACTATGCCATGTGCCACTGCGTGGCCGCCGACTTGCGTATGGGCAAAGGCATTGCCGTTATGTTTCGGTAAGCACCTTCTGTTGCCTATTCGCAGCTAACGGAACTAACTTCTATTGTTAGCAATAAATTTGGTCAAGTTGCCACATTGCAAAAGCAAAACGTACAGCCCGGCGGCGTGGCCGTGCTGGAGCATCATGGACGCTACATTTACTACCTCATCACCAAGCAGAACAGTTGGGGCAAACCCACCTACCAGCTGCTGCACAGCTCCTTGAGCGCCATGCAACGGCATATGGCAAGTAAATACCCTTATTCGTTTATTATTTTAATACCCTATGCATGCCCAAGCAGCTCGAACACAATGTGCGCAAATTGGCGCTGCCACGGATTGGCTGCGGCTTGGATGGGCTCAACTGGGCCAAAGTAAAAGACATGCTAGCCGAAATATTTTACGCAGACTCTACCGAACTGGTTGTATATAATTATGTGCCAGGTGCAGCAAAACGAAATTAAATAAACAGGAACAGTTGTAAATTTGTTGAGCTCCAGCGAGTTACTGTGGCGGCACATAGTTGTAAACTGTAATCTCCACATCCTCTCTTCCGAAGACCTCGGTCAATATGGCACTGACCTTATCCCACTCCAGGCCATCGATGCCACAGCCTATGCGTGGTATTGCCAGCTTATGGATGTCATTCTTGACCTGCAGCAGAAATGGGCTTTATAGAAAAAACGTAGAATCTTAAGGAAACTTCAGCTTACCATGTGATCGCGCATCTTTTCCAGCGACGACTGCAGCGACTCGTATGTGGGCAGTGCCCAGCTCTGTGACTTGGTCACCAGATAGTAGATGTAGCGTTCGTCATCCTTCAGCACGGCCATCTCACCGCTGCGCGCTTTTTGTGCCTCCAGCTGATCCACTCGCCCATAGACCTCCTTGAATTTGACAGCTATGCCCGCGCCCATGGCCAGATCGGCGCCAACGCAATGGGCCAGTGAGTGGGTCTTTGGTGCCGAGAAGAGATCCCCGTTGATCTCTTGCAGCTGAAAGCCAGTCATCTTCTGGACAAACGCACGACGAAAGGCGACACGCAAATCTGTAAGTTTTGGAGAGTACATTTTCAGTTTGAATATAGACGGACTCAACTATCATAGACATGTGTAACTAGGCATATCTATACGCAAAGCCAACTTTCGTTTATTGCCAGCCAGCAGGCGGTGTCTTTTATTTGTTGTACAATAAATACATATGTCAATTTCTTGTGCTCTCAACTAACCAAAACTCCTAACAACTAGATAAGTAACGGTGCATTTGGTGCCAAAAAAAAAAACCCCATGCAAACCCATTTCGAATGTTATTAATTAACAACTATTTATATATACAAAAAGGTGCCTCATCAACTTAGAAAGGCGTCTTCTCTCTGTGCAGCGACTGTCGGCTAACGCTGCGCGGCAGCTGCATGAGCTTCATGTGATGACAGGTGGGGCACATGACTTTTATGGTATCCCTGTCCATGCTGGGCGGCTCGTAGAAGAAGGCAATTATGTCCACGTTGTCGCTGACGAACACCAGCTCCAGCAGACTGCGCACGCGCAGCCAGTCCAGACGATCGATGCCGCAGCCCAGACGTGGTATGGCCAACTTGCTCACACTGTGCTCACGCTGGCGGAGGCGAGGCAAGAGAATTGGTTTAGCTATTATTGATGGTGTGTGCGATTCGATGGACTTACCATGTGCTCGCGCATGGCCAGCAGGGCGTAGTAGAGCGCCGTGTAGGTGCACTTCTCGTGGGCACGCTCCTTGGTCACCAGATTGTATATGTAGCGACCGCCTTGCTCCAGCACGGCCACGTTGCCCGTGTGCCGCTGCTGCCGCTTCAGATCGTCCACGTGCCCGAACTTGCAGCGAAACTGCAAATTGAGGCCCGCGCACATGGCAAAATCGGCGCTCACGGAATGGACCAGTGCAAAGTTTTCCGGTGCGCTAAACAGATTGCCCTTGGCCTCGGTAATCTGACACTTGGGCGCAGCCAGCTGCGAATGGAGAGTCGAGATTAACAACAAAAGCTGGCACATTTTCCTTGCCTCGACTCACCTCTCTAGAGACGTCCTCATGCTCACAGACGAGTATCTCAATGGGATACTCGCTGTGCGCGAATATCTGCTGCACAATGCGCTTCACTCGCTTCCAGTCGAGGCCATCGTTGCCGCAGCAGATCCGTGGCATGGCCACTTTGGTGATTTCATGGTTCCGCTGTGATTCGAATTTGATCAAATGGAATCTGATTAATTAACGCAAGCGAGTCTACATACCAGTATATATATATGCGTGTGGTGCAAGCAAATTAACAACAAACTCGAGAATTTTCTCAATATGTGACTACTGGAATACCCTAACCAGTAGAGGTGTGAGTTTAAGCAAATAATATATATGTGTCTCCCCCTTTTCAGACTATATATATCCCTTTATCTATCTCTTGCTGTCTTAAAGCGGAGAATCGCGATCTTATACCCTAACCAGACATGGTAGCTTTTGCAAAGAAATTGTGCGTATATGTCTCTCTCTCTCCCTCTCCCACACTCTCTCTACCTTTACGGGGAGAGCCTCAATATGCGACAGCTTATTTACCCTAACCGAACGACGTTTTGCACATACAACATCAAGATACATATATTATCGCTCTTCCTGGAACGTGCATATCCCTTTTTTCTTTACATATTCTTATCTCTTTCTCAGACATATGTTTCATATGTGAAAGTTCACACTCTCTCTTTCACTTACATATGATTCTCTATTTCTCTTGACATGTCTCTTTCTCCTTGTCTCTCTACGCATGTATATTTGTCTTCCTTTCTCTCTGCATATAAATATGCATTTCTCATTGTCTCTCTTCCCCTCTCCCATTCTCCCCGTCTCTTCATATTAAATCCCTATAAGTTTTTTTTTATATTCGTATATCGTACTCCCGTTTTCTCTCTCCTCTCATCTCAAATGCCTGCCCTGCCCCCTCTCTTACCATATGCTCCCTCATGCAAATCAATGCGGCTTGGACATCATCGTATGTGCTGATCGCATAGAGATTCGACTTGGTGACCAGATGGTAAACGAATCTGGAATTGTGCTCCAAGACGACGCAATTGCCGCTGGTGACGCGCCGCCGACGCAGATCGTCGACATCGCCAAAGATGAGGGCGAATTGCCAGGCGAGGGTGCCGCGGAGTGCAGCGAAAGATGACTCAACGGCGTGCGCCAGTGCATAGTGCTGTGGGGCCTGGAACAGATCGAGTTTCGATTCGACGATTTTCACGTTCGTGCTGGCCATTTTTTCCAGCTGTTGTTGTTGCTGTTGTTAACTGCAATTAAATGAAATTATTTGCGGGCTGCCTTCAATGCCAGCAACGGAATTTATTTTTGGTACTCACGCAGTGCGGAAACTTTCACGAGGCCAAACCAAAACAAAAACAAAAATCACAAACGAAAAGTTTTTGTTTTTGGTTTTTTTTTGTTTGCAGCTGAGGAACACGAACAGAACCAATGAATAATAAGAAAGCAATTAGCTTCGTTTTTTTTTTTTGGCTTCGCAGACAGTTAGCAAAAGTTAGTAGCTTGTTTTAGCTGTGCTTAAGACACGCTCAGCTGCGACTGTCTCGGCTGGCGTTCTGCAGCGGAATGGAATGCGCCCGAGCGAAATCAACAACTCAAAAGCAGCCCAGAGCCACGTCCAGAGTTCGGCCCCAATTGGGGCTTGTGGATGACAACTCTGACTCAGCTTGTTGTTGCTTTTGTTGTTGTTGTTCTATAATATGCCATCATGTTGCTGATGATGACATATGATTACACACACACACACACACACAAGCATGTCTGTCTGTGTGTGCGTGCGTGTTTGTTTGTTATCGTTTGTTTGTTTTGTTAGAATTCGCTGTTAATTTATTGTTTTTTTTTTTTTTGTTATTTTTTGCCGAGCTTGAGCTCGTCAAGATCTTGTCGAGATCTTGGCCCTATGGCCCTATCGAGCTGCTCAGCAGATAAGACCATATCGATAGCCTGGCACCTGGCGGCGTAGGCGACGCCATAACGGTAATAGCTGGGCATATACAGGGGCAGTCGAGCGAGCAAAAACAAGAGTCCGAAAACAAACAAAAACGGCTCGCATCAGTTGAGCTGACCCGTTCACATTTGATGTTGTTTGCATACGCAAATAGTAATGTGACTTAAATTATAATAATTTTTGCGTATAGCAGGTGAAACAAATATTAGCACACACACACAGACACACATCGCATACAAATTACCATATTAAGTTGGGCGAACAACAACAATAAAACGAGCTTTTTCTTTTGAAACTTTTCGGTTTTGCCAATTGGCGCCAAAAATGTTGTGTGCTGTGTGGTGCGTGTCTTGGCTAAGCGTGCGTTATGCAACACTGCGCGCCTAAATATAAACAAACAAAATTCGGCTCGCACAAAAACAGTTCACATAACTGCGCGATAAACTAAAAGTGCATTAAACTGTTAGTTTTTATATAAATTAGTATTAATTATTAAACAGTGCAAGTGACTTTTTGGTTATGCCAAGGTCAAATCAGGCTACTCCTCTCTCTCTCTCTCTCGTTCGCTCGCACGCATTTGTACGCATGGCGCGAGCAATTGTATATAAATTTAAATTTCACTTTTCATCAATTGAGCTAATCGCCGACGCTTGGGGCACCTTGTGGAAAAGCGATAGCATCTACGATGCCGACGACGACAACGTCTCCAACTCAGTTCATGGCAGTTCAACTTGGCGCTCCGACGGAACACAACGAACACGAGAGACGATTGGCTACAACATAAAAATAATCTATACGCTTATTGCCTGTGATTTCTTGTTGTAAACTTGCACATTGTTGTGGTTGTTGTTGTTGTTGTTGTCGTATTTGTTGCGCCTGGCGCATTACATAAACAGTTTCTTGCGTGTAGATATCAGCTTAATATTTAGTTGTACACTATTGTGTGTTAACAGTTATACTTTACGTAGTATTTGTGTAGTTAGTTGTTGTGCTTGTCGGCGCGCAAATAACATTCGTATTTAATACTTTGTTCGGGCAATTGACGCAAATCTCCCAACAAAGAAGAATCGAGGAAACACACAAATCACAACTTGGAAGCGCGCTTTACAAACGGTTTAAACGTTCTGAAACAGACGCTGTTAAGAGAATAACTAAAAAGTGCAAGGCAAAAGGCAAACAACTTGAGAGCAACAGCAGAAGCCGCCGCAGTCGCCGCAGCAGCAGCAGCACCAGCAACAGCAGCAGAGACGCCAGCGTCGACGTCAACGTCAGCTGTTTTGGTTATTTTGCGGCCCACTTTAACCGCGTGCGTTACGTAGCCGCTGATTTGATCTTCTTGTTGTTGTTGTTGTCTTACGTGTTTTCTGTTTACGTTGCCTTAACTAGTTTCTGTTTTGGGTATTTTGTTCTTGTTGTTGTGTACTCGTATTCGTGTTCTTGTTCTTGTTGTTTGTTTTAGCACTTTAGAACTTTTTGCCATATTCGCCGCAATGACATCGTTGACATTGTGCTGCTCGCGTCGTGCGGTCGCTGCCAACGCCTACGTCAACGCCAATTGGCGGTTTATTCAAACACTTCAAAGGCGCCAACAACAACAACAACAATTGCAATTACAACAGCAATGTAGGCGTCTCAGCGCAGCTGCAACAACAACAGCGCCAAAAACCAATGCAAATAACAGCGGTAAGCGGAGACTTTATTATGCTAATTACGCGTGCAATTGTTCATTATCTATGCGTTATGATTTATATGCCTATCTCCGGCTTCCTTCTCTTCACGCTCTGACAGCGAAGCTGGCAACCCTGTTTGGCATTTCGAAAGCTGTCAGCTGTTTTTTAAAGCCTTGCCAAGAATCTCATATATAATTGTGAATGCCACCCACGCGCGTTCTACAATATTTTGTATATTAATCACATATGTATAGATTTATAATTAAAACAAATGCTTTTATTGTTTTGTTTTGTTTTTTCTTTTTGCAAATCAACTGCCGAAACAGCAAAACGCAACAAGTGGCAGCTGTTAACATTTGAAAACATTTTTAATTCACTTATAAAAAAAAAAGAAGGCGGGCTTTTAATTAATAAAAAATTGTTTCGACGCTAACTTGTATCGAAATTAATTTTATGATAAGTCTTAGTTCAGCATTCTTGTCTAAAGGGGAATTATTTGTGATAAGAAACAACTCTGATCAGGGCTGCAAGAAAATTATTTGTGTGTTGGTTTACGGCTCGAAACGGTTCCCTGACTTAAAGTTTGGTTCGTGAAACTGGTTTTTCACACTTTTGAGCACTGTTTTCAATTTGAACTTTGGGTTTTTTAAACATATTAATGACAATTAAACAATTAACTTACAATTGCCCGTTGTACTGAAAATATTGCAAACAGTAAATATTTTCATATACGAATTGCGGGCTACATTTTATGGATTGTACGAAATAGATATAGTATTAAATTTTGTGATTGTTGAGTTAGGTTAAAATATCCTTATTTTTTGAACGATGAAATATTTATCCAAGACAAAAGCATAGATTTCAGATAAAAACTTGATAACTAACCTTTTGATTCTCATCCAGAACACATGCATATGCATATCATATAAATTAGTAAAATAAATATATCTAAAAAGCCATGTATTCTGTTAATTGCCTGACTAAACTAGAGAGAGAGAGAGAGAGAGAGAGAGAGAACCTTGTAACACTTATCGAACTGGGAATGCGCATTATTCTAAATGAAATGTATAAACAAATACATAGATAAATGACAATTATACAAGTTAAACAAAAAAAAATAAAAAAAATAAAACGTCAAACCGGGTTTCGGATACTCGAATCGTTTATTTATTGTGGCGTCGTTGGGTCTTGTGTTCGGTTCCAGCCATTGCTCCAATTCGAAGCATTACTAATGACAATTTGATTGCCTAATTGAAAGCGCATTAAACACTCCAACACTTTTGTGCGGTGCTCCAAAACCCGTTCGGCTACAATTAACGTTCAATCAATTTCCCATACTAATCGAAACAGGCGCTGACAAATGGGTTACACTGAAACCCATAAATATATATTTATTTGTGTACTTAATGTTGGGGCTTTTTCAAAATTACAAGTGCAGCATTGTGAATCTCTAGTCACATCAAATTTAACAACGGCCTCTGCATGTAATTCAGTGTTGGAAAACGTTTGAATACCCAGCCATGGAGACGATAAGAAGGCCCCTTAACATAAGGCTGATAAGATTAGGTTTGTAGGGTTATCGGCGTTAAATATGATGTTTGTTGAAGACTTCTTTGTATTTTTATGACATTGAACAAATTTCGCTTTCATTGTCTGAGGCTCACATTAGATTATCTTTTCAAGTGGGCGTGGCACTTGTAAACAGCTTAACAACACTTGAGCCAAGTGAGAGACATGGTAAAAGTAAATACTCTGCGGTAAACAAAATTGATGTCGTACATTTCCGTGATTATAGCCAGACATTTAATCAATGGACGGGCGTTGGGCACAACCCATCATTTGTCAGTCCAGCACGGCACAGCTCATAATTATGGCATCTATGAGCCGCCATCGAAGCGTGGGCTCCATTCAACTGGATATCAAGTGAAGTTCAAGGTCATTAACGACAAAAACGCTCGAGAGACACATTCAGCTCGCGCGGCCCACACACGCGTCAGACTCGAAAATTCAAAATAAAACTGGAAATCGAAATCAGCTACGAACACAGTCGCACACACAAGTATACGTACAGACATAGGAATAATAAATTTATGTACATATACATGTGGATGTGCTGCGAGCCCCCTTTGGCGTAGACAAGTAGTGAGAGGTAAACAATTAGTCGGCTGGCCGACTAGTTAATACTCTTTCATAAGGATGTAAAAACCGACTATATATATTTACTGATATAACATAGGTCGAGATAACTCCAACTTTTACATGTCTAAATATATCTATATATATGTATAAGTGAGGTTAGGTTCGTGAAACGAATCAATTACTTTGGAATTCGTTTGCTTTTCTTTGAAATATTTCATCTTATTCTTGTATATACATACATTTATTTAGAAAAACTATTTTATTTTAATTTCATTTGATTTGTTTTCAATAATATTTTTTTAATATTATTTTCCCACATATTCTATTGGCTATTTTACTCGTACTAGAGTACTTATTCTTTTCTTACAGAAAAACCTATTTTATATTTCAACAATATTTTCAAACTATTTGTTAAAAACAATGTTTTTGAATAATCTGTTCGGTATTAGATTTAGAGCTCTTCAAGTACTTCAAAAAGAGTCCTTGTTAAGAGCGAGTATTACCCTCATCTGAGCTGATGTGTCAAACGCTTTGCACAGATGTTTTCTGCTATTATTTGGGCTTACTCTGTGAAACATACAGTCCATTAAGTTGTTACACATTATGTGACAAAAGTTCCTAACCCATTTTCAGTTTATAAAAATACAAAAACAAACTATTTAAACACGTCGCACCCTGCCGTATCATTGACTGAACCATTGGCACACAATATAAATCGAGGTGCACACACGCACATACATATATATATATATACATATATAAATATATATACTGAATGGGCTGATAAGTATTCCTAAACACGCTCCCGCTCGGGAGGTCGTCTCTCTCCCACTCTCTCTCCCTCTCCCTCTCTTTTGCAAATATGATATGAGGAATTTCGGGCTTTGCAAAAAAAAATAAAAACAATAAACATAGCTGCCGCCTTCGTTCCCTCTCGCTCTCCCCCCCCCCCCCCCCCCTCTCGTTCAACCTGCCTGCTGTTTCTAACTGAACTGGGCTCTCCAGAGATCTAGCGCTATGCTGTCGCTGAGAATTTGCTAGATTAATTAGAGCTATGCCGCCCAGGGCAGCTCCAGGCCGAAACAGTCGCATAGTCGCCGCGTATCTGGCCGCACATAGGAACTCCCTCAACTTGTGTCTGTGGCAAGTTTATTGTTTTTGATATTCGACTGGTTATTTTGTTGTTGTTGTAGAATTTGCCATCTTATCGCGTAACATGTCGTTGAGTGCGTCGTCGCCCAAACTGGTCGCTGTCGAGGAGTCGCGCCGCTTTATGATCGATTGCTTCAAGGCCGTGAAGGTGCCCGAGGCGCATGCGCGTGCCCAGGCCGATCTTCTGGTGGCGGCCGACTATCGTGGCCACTTTAGCCACGGTATGAATCGGCTGGAGATGTACATCAATGACTTGGCCATTAATTCGACAAACGGCGGGGCCGATCCGAAGGTGCTCAAGGAAACCCCGGCAACGGCCTGGGTGGACGGCTGCAATGGACTGGGCGCTGTGGTTGGCAACTTTTGCATGGATCTGGCCATCAAGAAGGCCAAAACCGTGGGCATTGGCTGGGTCTGCAGCAGAGGCTCCAATCATTATGGCATGGCCGGCTGGTATGCGCTGAGGGCCATGGAAAATGGCCTGGTGGGCATGTCCATGACGAACACGTCCCCGTTGATGGCGCCCACCGGCGCCAAGGAGGCGGCGCTGGGCACCAATCCGCTCTCGCTGGGCGCCCCGGCTGGCGACTGCGATCACTTTCTGCTGGACATGGCCACCACCGCGGTGGCCGTGGGCAAGATCGAGATACAGAACCGCAAGGGCGCGCCGCTGCCCGACGGCTGGGCCCAGGATCCCGATGGCAATGTGACCAACGATGCCAAGTTGGCGTTCGCCACCGGCTGCCTGCTGCCGCTGGGCGGCACCGAGCTAACCTCTGGCTACAAGGGCTACGGCCTGGGCGCCATGGTGGACATACTCTCCGGCGTTATGTCCGGCGCCAAGTACTCGACGCAGGTGCGCAAATGGACGCACACGGGCGCCAACACAGCCGCCGATCTGGGCCAGCTTTTCGTTGCCATCGATCCCAATTGCTTTGCGCCCGATTTCGAGGAGCGCATGCAGGACTTCAATTCGCGTCTGCGCGGCGCCAAGCCGGTAAGTCTGACCAGCTGCTGGACGGACAACTTCCGGCTAACAATCTCTTCTCTCCCAACCACATAGACCGATCCCAATAAGCCCGTGCTGCTGGCCGGCGACAAGGAGTCGAGGAACATGAAGGCCGTCGACGAGGCGGGCGGCATCCAGTATCTGGAGAACCAGCTGAACACCTGCGCGGCCCTGGCCGAGAGGCTCAAAATCAAGCCGCTGAGCTTCAAGTGAGGCGGATCAATCATATCTGGAAACACACACATATGCCATAAATTAAAGCTGCTTTTGCATTTTTCTTGACCAAAGGATTTGACTAGTGCCTAAGTTGAGAACAGTTAACTTTTACTCCCTAGACTCTTTGATATATATATATATATAAATTTTATATATGTTATGATATTGTTTTGCAAAGCTAATAAAACTAGACTTGAATTATATTTGTAATTTTTGATAATACACATTATATATATACGATATTAGGTGATTTAGTTATTTAAGGCTGATAAGTGACAACTAGACTTTTCAATTACATTTCCACGCTTATTTCACGATCCAAATATTCAAACGACAATAGCCCTAAGATTCGATTAGTGCCTAAGTTGAGAACAGTTTAGTTAACTCCAGACTCCGATAATACATACATATATTGTCATATGGGGTTATTCAAGGGCGTAGCTCTTCACTAGACTTTTCCACTCGTATTTCACTCGTTTAGTTTGGTTTTTCTCTAGATTCGATTAATGTCCAAGTTGACAAAATTTTACGAAATTTGCTCAAGACTTTTTGATTATATATTGTGATATTGGGTTATTCAAGGCTTAGATTCGATTAATGTCCAAGTCGAGAAAAGTTAATAATATATACTCCAGACTCTTCGATAATATTTACTATGAAGGCTAGCATGTAGCCCTTTACTAGGCATTTCCACTCTTGTTTCACGCGACAAATATTCGCTCGTTTTAGTTGCTTTCGTATTTCTCTAGATTCAATTTGAGAACAGTTAACGATTTACACTCCAGATTCTTTGATATTATATATATTATGCTATTGGGTTACTTAGGGCTGGGCTAATAAATAGCTGTTAGTCAAACTTTTGAATTACATTTCCACGCTTATTTCACGAGTTTTCAGTGTGGCGAGTCTTTTGGCTAATCGCTTTTCTTTTCGGGATCAAGGTTACATTTGCTGCCGCACAGCATCTTGATGGTGTTCACCGCCTGCCTTTGGGCATCCTTGCCGGCAGTTGCCGAGCCCTTGGTGACGCGCAGCTTGAAGAAGCGGCATTGGGTATCGAAAAGCAGCGGCACCTTCTCCAGGCATGGTTTGACGTGCATGGCGGAGCGCAGCTCCTCGGCATTGTCGGTCTTGCTCATCGACTTGATGAAGTCGATGTGACGCTGATTCTCCTCGGTCAGCTTGCGCTTCTCCTCCAGCAGCAGCATGTTCTGGGCCTGGGCCACGGCCTGTTGGCGCCAAAAGTTCTTCAGTCCGTTATTGAGCATGACCAGATCCTCCTCGGTGAGATCGACGTGCTGTTTCATGTCCAGCGTTTGCAGCGTAAAGTTTTCATCAATAGGGCCCACATCGATGGGCTCAACTACCTCGCCGCCCACAATGATCTTCTCGGACTCCGTTTGCAGCTTCCGGCACGTGATGGACAGCGCGAGCAGCAGCTCGCCGCTCTTCACGATCTTCTCGAATTTCTGGCAAAGCAGGCGGTTTGAATGCGAATATTATGTCTGTGGAAAGTGGACAGTACCTTGGTCAGCTCATAGCACTCGGTGCTGAGTATGCGCAGCTTCTCGTGCGTGGTTATGCGATCCGCATGCATCCGATCCTCGATCTTCTTGCGCACATTCGTAAAGTACTCGAACTCAAGGCGCAAATCGTTAATGGTCCCATTGTTCTGCGTCTCGATGCGCAGCGTCTCGCTCTGTATATCGTTCAGCATGATGCTGTACTTGGCCTCCTCAACGTTCAGCTTCTTGCTCTCCTCCACGAACGCCTGCTGGCGTTCCGTCAGCGAACGGATGCGCTCGTACTTGTGGGCATCCAGCTCGGTGCTGTGCAGGGCATCCACGAACTCGTTTAGCTGGCGCTGCATGTCATTCATTTTGCTGACAACCTGATCGCGTATGTCGAAGCGATGCTCGATCTCGCGGTTGACATTGTCATCGCGCTGCTCCAGATAGATTTGATAGTCCTCCTTGAGCTGGTCGCGCGTGAACAGATTGGAGGCATGGATTATGTTCTCGCTGTTCGTATGCATTGCCTCCACTTCTTCGGTGCGCAGATGCACCTCGTCGTAGAACTCCTTGAGCAGATCCTCGGCCTGCTGTTCGTACATGCGCTTGTTGCCTTCCAGCATCGCCTGGTAGCATTCGCTAATGTGATCGATCAGCTCCACGGTGCGGCCATAATTGCGCGCATGCTGCTCATTCGTCTGGGCGATATCGTCGATCAGCATTTGGATGTGATCGTTTTTGTTCTCAAAAATGCGCTCGGCGCGCTCGCCCCATGTGATTATCTCATTGCGCAGCTCAACTATTTTGATCTGCTCGGCAATGGAGTTCCATTCCTCCATGCCGCGCAAATCCATGCGCTTGCCCAGCTCCAGCTCCGTCTCCAGATCATGCTGCGGGCGTTCCAACAATTAGCATGACTCTCTCGCGAGAGAGTGAGATGGAGCTCTACTTACGCGCATGATCAGTTTCTGGTCGGCGATTTTCTGCAGGCGCTTTGCCTCTTTTCGCGCCGCCTTTTTCTGCGCCCTGGTCGGTGGGCGTGGCTTTGCCGCCTCCGCCATTTCTTCGAGCGCATCTTCCAGATACGTTTCCGTAATACGCGTTATGCGTATTTCCGGCACGAATGTCGACATCTCGTTTTGAGTTTAAAAATTGATTTTTGCTAAAAATAAAAGTATTTCAATTGTTTCTCTCTGTGTCTGACTGTACCGAAAGCTACCCACTGCTGGGCTTCAAGTGACAGTCGGGGCAAAGCTCACTGCGGACCGTTACACATGTTTGACGTTTGCCAACACTGCCGAGCACGAACTGGAGCTGGGCGCCAAACGTAAAGCTCGCTCCCGCGCAGCATCTCCGGAGCAGCTGAGCCGCGACATTTGCGCCAGCCAAGTTAGTAGACGTCGAGAGCTGGCCAAGCGCGGTTGTTTCGTTAGCAGCAGCAAGGACTACAAGGACCATAAACAAGCCACTCACTAACGGCACGCCGTTCCTTCTCTCTGTGTGTGTGTGTGTGCGTGTTTTGCTTTTTTTTCCCGGCTGCGCCTTGTAAACAAAAATAACTTTGCTTGTTGTGTCTGTGTGCGCGTGTGTGTGTGTGTGTGTGCGTCGCCCTGGTGGTGGCTAACAACCCCCAGCGAGCACGGAGCACAACTACAAAGCTCGAGTGGCAAGGGCAGATCCAGCAAAGTTTTCGGGGTTGCAGACAGTTGGCAAACAAGCTGCGAATATACGTTTAAATACCCATAAATATAAAACGAAAATAAAATAGAAACAATATTCAAATATTGCGACGCCAAGATGAGCGACACAGGCGCACCCAATGGCTATCAGAAGCTGCCGCCCGGCTGGGACTGCAAATACGATCAGACGACGGGCAACTGGTAAGCAGCTAGCAGAAACCTCATAAATATTTATGCATGCAATGCAATGCAAAAAAAAACCAGCATACCGAGCGTTGAAATGTTGCATGTCTGGGCAAGATGGAATGGCTGTGTGGGTGGGCGGGGGGTCGTTTTCTAACACTGTACAGTTTTGCAGTGCGAGTTTACAATGTAAACATTTTTCGTTGCATGCTTTTAGGCGGCGGCTATTAAAAATATGCCATGGCGGCTTGTTGCGGCAAATTGATTGCTTTGAGCTCGTTAAATGTACAGAGTCTTTAAATAGCACGACATTTTAAAAGGCGTATAAAACATTAGCCTATAAATGTACAGCATTTCTATAGCAAGCGCTTAAAAAGTTTTCTTTACGCAAGTTTAAAATCTGGCTGCATATAAATTTAAAGCATACTTTGAGGCGGCGCCTTTAATTGTGCAAGTTTGAAGCAAGTTTGACTATAAATGTATGGAGTCTTTAAATAACTTCACATTTTAAGAGGCATATAAAACATTGGCGTAGACAATTTCTAAAGCTAGCGCTTATAAAGTTTTCCTTAGTTAAAAACGGGCTGCATAAAAATTCAAAATTTCAGGCGGCAGCTTTAATTGTGCTATGCAAATTTGAAGTCATGAATTGCTATTCATTATGCTAAAGACAACACTCGAGCACAAAGCACCCGCCAGGCCAATTGGCCTCATTTTCCGGCCAACGCAGCAGGCTCCATGTTGCCCACAGCCACTTGCCGCTCCTCCAGATATGCTACCCCGTGCAATTAAGCAGCGACTGTCATACGTTGGAGCTGAAGTGGCCACTTGGCTGGAGACGAGACGCCACGGCACACCAATCACAGCCCACAGATTGGCTGTCAAATGTGAGCTGCTGCCTTCTGCCTTTTGGCAGCTACTTGGCACGTGTCGCTGTTTAAAGGCACCCTTTACCTGTGCCAATTTGACGTAAATGAGTGCCAAGAAATTCACCACCAGACGGACAGACAATCAACCCCATTTAACGAACGTTTGTTTGTCATTTGTTATGCACTTGCAGCTATTACATAAACTATCTGACCAAGGCCATGCAGCTGGAGGATCCGCGCGCCGGGCGCAACAGCTACAAGCAGCTGCAAAACGAACGCTGCTCCACGGAGTCCATTCCGCTGCAGGTGAGTGTCGGCTGTAACCACTCATCGGTAGGCATCTAATCATCCAGCCCTTCAATTAGCACATGGCACAGAGCTCACATCACAGTTCACCCTATCACGTTGTCCATCCCAGCAATAATCTGACCGCAGTGCGTGCCTTCCAGGAGCGCGAACGCGGCCAGCAGCCCGCACTGCACAATCTGTCGACGAGTCCGCTGCTCTCCGCATCCTCGCGCGCCCAACTGGTAGGTTGACCCAACTAAAGCTCGCAGCTGTTGATTTTGTTTTTTTTTTTCTTTTTTCAACTGGTCTCATTTGCAGGAAATGTCCTCGCCACTGCCCCTGCAGCGCGCCCGCCTGGCCTCGAACATGTCGCGTCGCTCCACCATCCAGGAGACCTCGTTCAGCCATCAGAGCGAGAGCCAAGCGGTGGTCACCAAGATACAGAACATGTTTCCCACCGCCGACGAGAATCACATACGCTTGCTATTGAAACGGTGAGACATGCCTCATTGTTTGGTTCTCTCCAACTGCCTTTTGAGCTCGTTAATCCCCTTTTGGCTAATGCTCTGTACAAATGTATCTCTATCTTTCAACACACGCTGCCGCCGCTTATTGCACCCACTCACATGCTTACTAACCACCCACCCCCCGCCGGCCACTAATGCCCCCTTAACAGCTACTATAATCGCGAGGCCGTCGTCATCAGCGCCTTGCAGGTGGAGAAGCATCCGGTTACGATGCCCGGTCCGTTTGTGACGCCGCCCGCCCAGCGGCATTTGTTTCACAGCAATTCCGCTTTCTATATGACACCACCGGCGCGTCGCCCGGACATGGGCGCTAGCCGGATAACCGTTACGTCACGCACGGCCAGTCCCCTGCCCGGCGGCCGCTTCGGTAGTCTCATGAGCATGCAAAGCGGCCCCGGACAGCACATAGCCGCAGCAGCAGCAGCAGCGGGCATCATGCCGCCGCCCGCCCTGCACGGCTCGCCGCAGTGGCGCAGCTCGCCCAAGCCGCATTCGTCGCCCAAAATGAAATTGAGGTGCTTTTTTTTGTTATTCAGATCAAAGATTTGACTTGCCAGGCAATTAGCTAATTGAAATTGACGGTTTTCATTTTGTTGTTAATTATTTGTTGGCTTTTGAAAGGGCATTTTGTGTTATTCGGCCTTTTCTATTAACATGTACTATTATGTTATTGTCAACTGTTAAGCTTCATCTGTTAGCTGTTATGCTAAGGGGAATTTGTTGTTGCCAATCTGTTATGTTAATTGAAATTTTATTTAGTTACTGAATTTAGGGCCCCTTTGGGTTCTTCGGCCTTTTCTGTTAACATTTGCTGCTATGTTATTGTCGACTGTTAGGCTTATATGTAAGCTGTTATGCTAAGGTCAATCTGTTAACGACAAGACTTACTATCTATGTTATTTGTCAATCATATGTTAACATATGTTATTTAGTTATCGAATCAATTCTCGTTTCTTAATTTAGTTTGCATCTCTTCTGTTAAGTTAACTTCATTCTGTTAACTTCACTCTGCTAACGTTAACTGTTAAAAGACATTATTTCTACTTTATTATTTCTATTTTATTATTTCGCTTCTTTGTGCCTATTATCTCCCAAATGTTACCTTCACTCTGTTAATTAACTTTTTGGACTAACTTAGCAGGTGTTCCTTTTTCAATTTCGGACTCGTATTTTGCAAGCTAGCTTCTCTAAATCACAAAGCACCATAGCTTTTTATGCGCGCAGCCTTTAAGTCCCGTTTTCATCTGCCCCTAGATACATGAAGAACATATTCCCCAAGGCGGATGAAATGCTGCTGCTCGACATTCTGGCCAATGCGGACAACAATGTGCAGTTCGCCTCGGAGAAGCTGATCTCGCTGGGCTATGCCAAGCGCGACATGCAACAGCCGCACAGGCCCAACAATCGACCGCCGCACCTGGACGCGGACCAGAAGTCGGGCAACGAGCAGGGCGTGCAGCACATACCGCTGCGACCCAAGGAGTACACCGCCGAGCAGAAGACAGACAGTGAGCGGCAGTTGCTGAGTTCCCTTTCAAAATCCTAATGCTCCTCTCTCTTACAGTGGAGGCGCTGCTCAAGGAGCGTTATCCACAGATAGCTGAGCGCATCATCTTGATGGCCCTGGAGTCGGTCAACTATGCGGAGGATCGCGCCATGCAAATACTGCAAATTGTGCAGGACGAGGACGAGCAGCGCAGCCAGAAGCACGCGCTGCCCAAGTCCAGTGGCACGGACAGCGCCCTGACGCTGCCGGTGGACCAGGTGGACGCGGCTGCCACACACAGGTGCGTACGGCCAGGTTGAGCTAGCCCAGTTGGTGTTGCGGCACACGCTCTTCCCGCACGGTGCTCCTCCTCTCGCATTTGCTGCTGTTGCTTTAGCCGTTTTGTTAATCGATTTTGCCTACTTTCTCCGTAATACTTTGTTGCTGCCTCACACACACACAAACACATACACACACACACACATATATACACACATTTGCTTACCTGCCCTCATTATCATCGCCTTGAAGAGCAGCCGCTGCAGCAGCAGCAACAGCAAGCCAAATAAGCTACATCGCCATTTGCCATCCATCAATGTCATCACACCCACCGCGGCCACCACACAGATCATCCTCAGTCATTCGGCCACGCCCACGCCGGAGTCGGAGCCGAAGGCCGCAAACATTTCCGGGGCTTCCACGCACTCATATGCCTCACCTGCACAGACACCCTATGAGCGCCTGACCACCAAAAATATGCTCGCGCGTTCCGGTTGCTGCAACAACAACAACAACAACGACAACAGCAGCAGCAACAGCAGCAGCAGCAACAACAATAACAGCAATGCCAGCAGCTATTCATCCATTGGCTCCTCAACCGCCTCGGCCGGCTCCATAGCGAAGGCATTTGAAAGTCGCGCGCGCACCAAAACCGATTCACTGAAGTATGCCCGTTACCGTTAACCGTTAACCGTTATTTATGTACAGTTGCGCATGCTTTGAAAAAGTCCGTTAGAGTTTGCTGCACGTGTTCAGCTTTTTCATTTCCCTGTTTTGTTGTTGTTGTTTTTTTTTTTTTGGGCATGCAAAACATTTTTCATTTACCCGGAAGTGTATATATGTACATATATATAAATGTGTGTAAATCTGAGTGATTTTTTTTTGTATACATTTCGTTTATTTTCTCGCAGACAGCGGCAACACTCGGCGCACCTGGACAATGGGCACAATTTAGATGCCGACGAGTTCCAGTCACTGATCGCACGGATGGCCACGCTGGGACCCAATGCGCAGCTGGCCAAAGGCGCCGACGAGAAGCTGTTGCTGTAAGTTAAACCCAGTTATACGTCGGGCTGAATACTTAATACGTTGCCCATACACAGCGCCGATTACGTCACCTGGAACGGCCCGAACACAACGCTCAGTCCAAAGCAGGCGGCACAAGGCGCCGATCCGGGCCTGCTGGCCGGCGAGCGTGGCTATAAGCCGGCCGGCAGAAATCCGGAGCTGTGCAAGGGCGCCAAAAAGGAGCTGGCCAAGGGCAGCATCTATGCGCAGGGCAAGAGCGCCAACATCAAATGCAACTAGGCGAAAGGCAGCCAGATACCCAAGCGTGCCAAACCCTGGACTTCAGCTTTTATATGTCGTCAAACAATTTGCTCTACATGTGTTCCCGTATATACCATATTCAAAAAGCACACACAAATATTCCATCCAGAATCCAATTATTCATACAAGTTTTCTATGAACAAACTTTGCAGCTTGAAATACATGAATATTTATAAACTAACTTATCTATAGACTATATTTAAGCTTTGGCTAAACTTCGTCCTCGTTCAGCAGCATATTGGGAATGCCGTCGGCAATGGGAAAGATGCGTCCCGTCTCGGGGCACTCCAGCTGACCCTCGAGCACATCGATTTCGAACAGCAAATGATGTAGTCTCTGCAGCAGCTGCTCATCCTCGGCTATGTTCTCCGGCTGGGCAGCGGGTATATCTTCGGCCAGTTCCGCCTGGTTAAGAAATTAAGATGTCAGAATGGATTTTCTGGCTGGGAATCAATGCTGCGCATTTCACTTACCACCTGGGCGGCACCGTAAACGGCTGACCAGTCCAGCTTGGGCAGCAGTCGTTCTATGAACACCGGATTGAATTCGCTCTCGATCACGTCCTTTTTGTTAATCTAATTAAACGATTTTAATTTTCGTCTTGAAACAATCAATAAAAGTTAAAGCGCAGCTTACCGTCAGCTTCAGTGGGTAGCCAACCTTGACGCCCTTGATGGCCATTGAAGTTAGAAAATTGTATGTGCTTAGTTTCATGGTGTATGCTTAAAATATTAAATATATTTAATAACAATACTATAGTTCATTTAAATAAAAACAAATGCGGTATGCGAAATGCACGTTTTCAGCATTCACTTGGCAACGCGGGCGCAACAGCTGTTAGTTCGCTGCCATACGTTGGTCACACTGTCAAAAATATCGATAGGTTGCTATCGCTGTTCACAACAGTTGAGCGATACGTTTAGTCGCTGCCTGCAAAACGATGTGACCAGTCGGCAGCACAAAACAAGAGCAAGAGCAACAACTGCTGCAATTTTACGGGCTTACAACGTTTATAAATGTAATTAAAGTGCAATTTGTGGTCTAAACATTGTTAAAGTATATAATAAACATTTGCAGTGCAGATATGGAGGACATTTTCCACTGGTGCCGCGAGGGCAACTCAATTCAAGTGCGCCTCTGGCTGGATGAGACCGAGCATGACATGAATTTGGGGTAATAAAAAGTTGCAATGCTTTTAAAACACAACAAATACGCACAAGACCAACTGGTTTATGTGAAAATATAAATAATTGTGAGCTATTTGCTATATTTGAAAAACACATTGCCCATAAACCAATTGGTACGGAAAGTGTCGTCGCAGTGACGTCATGATTTATTCTTGTGTTGTGTAAACAACCTGCACCCATACAAACGAAACTTATGCTTGCGGGTGCGTGTGTGTGTGTGTGTGTGTGTGTGTGTGTGTGTGTGTGTGTGTGTGTGTGTGTGTGTGTGTGTGTGTGTGTGTGTGTGTGTGCTCGTCACTCTCTGTCCCTCTCCCACTCCCACTCCCTCTCTCTCGCAGTGACGATCATGGCTTCAGCCCGTTGCACTGGGTCGCCAAGGAGGGGCATGCCAAGCTTGTGGAGACGCTGCTGCAACGCGGCGCTCGCGTGAATGCCACCAATATGGGCGATGACATTCCCCTGCATCTGGCCGCCGCCCACGGGCATCGCGATGTTGTGCAAATGGTACGTAATTCATATTTGATATACATTAAAATACCCTATAAATTGTTTTGATTGCAGTTGCTGCGTGAACGCTCGGATGTGAATGCTGTGAATGAGCATGGGAACACTCCGCTGCATTATGCTTGCTTCTGGGGCTACGACATGATATGCGAGGATCTGTTGAGCGCCGGCGCTTTGGTGAGCATTGCCAACAAGGATGGGCACACGCCCATCGACAAGGCCAAGCCCAGTCTGGGCAAGCGCATACAGGATCTGGCCGAGAAGAGCGGCCAGGAGATGAAGGTCATCAGTTTCAAGGAGCAGAGCTGGCTGGGCATGAAAACCCGCTCACGAGACGCCACCTTATCGCGCTTCAAGGGCATCAGCATGGGCGACTTGGACCTGCACACGAAGATTTCGGTGACGCCCTCCGGTGAGACGTGGCGCGGCCGCTGGCAAAAGAACGATGTCATAGCCAAGGTGGGTGGAATGCAGCTTATCGGCTTATCAGCATTTGTCTAACCAGCTGTTCGCTTTGCCCCCGACAGATTCTCGTCGTGCGGCAGTGCACGTCGCGCATCTCGCGTGACTTTAACGAGGAGTTCCCCAAATTGCGCATCTTCTCTCATCCCAACATTTTGCCCATCATTGGCGCCTGCAACTCGCCGCCCAATTTGGTGGTCATCAGTCAGGTAGGTGTCGATTGTTAGCCACCGCTTGGATTTCCATCTCAAAACCCACTCCATTTGCAGTTTATGCCACGCTCTTCGCTGTTCAATCTGCTGCATGGCGCATCGGGCGTTGTGGTGGACACCAGCCAGGCCGTGAGGTTCGCCTTGGACATTGCACGCGGCATGGCCTATTTGCACTCGCTGGAACGGATTATACCCACATATCATCTGAATAGTCATCATGTCATGATCGACGATGATCTGACCGCACGCATTAATATGGGCGATGCCAAGTTTTCGTTCCAGGAGAAGGGCCGCATCTATCAGCCCGCATGGATGTCGCCGGAGGCGCTGCAGCGAAAGCCAGCCGATCGCAACTGGGAGGCGTCCGATATGTGGAGCTTTGCGGTGATCATCTGGGAGCTGACCACACGTGAGGTGCCCTTCGCCGAGTGGTCGCCCATGGAGTGCGGCATGAAGATTGCGCTCGAGGGCTTGCGCGTCAAGATACCGCCCGGCACCTCGTCGCACATGGCCAAGCTGATATCGATATGCATGAACGAGGATCCCGGCAAGCGGCCCAAATTTGATATGGTTGTGCCCATACTGGAGAAGATGAACTCCAGTGCCGTGAAAAATTAGTGGAAATCGTTGCAACGAAATTTTACAAAGCCAACATGTGCCTGTTTACAAAAAGTGTGTAGCTAAAAAGTGGAGCGAAAGGACGAAAGCTCGTAGGATTTGTGTTTTGCCAACTAATTTTAATAACTACTTTGTGTTTATTTACTGAGACTTAACCGAATCTAACCGACACCGCAAGTGCCTAAAATCTGCAGTATATTTACGCCATTTCGAAAATTTTCTACAGGTAAAACTTTTAAGTTTTCATTTTTTACTCTCTCCCTTTCCTCTTTCTCTCTGTGTAGTCTTTATGTTTTGTGTCCTGTTCATGTTTCGTTCTTATGAATTTTGATAATGTTTAGACGGTGCTCGATTTTGTATTTGTTTAGGTTGAAATATTACATATTACATTAACAGTTAAGCTTTTAAAGTACGTATTTATACAACATATATATTTGTTACTAATGATTAAACGAAATTTGTGTACCTATAAACAAAATGGGAATTCGTTAAATGCTGTGCCAAAACATTCTTTGGGCAAGCTCTCTGCAGCTTTTACCGCTAAAAAAGCAAAACAACGAAAGCTGCCTTGGCGCATGTGTGTGTGTGTGAGTGTGTGTCTGTGTGTGTGTGCGTGCGTGTGTTTGTGTGCTTGTGTGTGGTGGTGGGTAGCCAGCGTGAGCAAAACGGCCCTGACCTGATTTCTATTATGTGCACGCCATGCTGCAGCGCGTGGGCAGAGCAGCAGCAGCAGCGCAATGCAGCGTGAGAGAGAGAGAGAGAGAGCGAGATAAAGAGAGAGCCGGCGTAAGCGCGCAGCTGTGAGAATGTAAACTTTTCAGAATTATGCACATGTGCGTGCATTTATAAAACATTACGTTTGAGTATTTAAATTTATTATTAAATTAATCAATATCAATTTGAAATATGACCGCACTTTTTTCTTACCACAACAAGCTTGTAATCTACGCTTGCCGCTCTCTCTCACTCTCCCGCTCTTCGCCTCTTCGCTTTGTCGGCTTGACTACGGCTCTCTGTTTATGTTTTTGCGGCACCGTTATATATTTGCAGCTGCCGTAGCGGCTGCTATTGCTGTTGTTGTTGCGGCGAGCTTAAACCATGTGATTGTTTTGCTAGCTCGCTCTTCGTTCAACGGCATATCCTTTGCCTGCGTGCGTGTGTGTGCCTGCGTGTGTGTGTGTGTGTGCCGCTGCAGCTTTAAAAAACTTTTGCTGCATTTTGTTGTCGTCGTCATCATCGTTGTCGTCGCAGTCGCTGTCGCTGTCGCTGTCGTCGTGCTTTTCGGCCCAGAGGCTGGTCGCTCGGTCTCCAAACGGCAGCGGGCAACGCTGCAGTGTCCAAAAGCCGATTTACAGTTTTACAGTTTTATATGCCAGTTATGAGTGCAACCAACAAACAGCGACCGCATTTCCGCAATGGCGAATCCCTCACATGGGCAAAGTGTGTTGTAAAACGAGTGAATTTTCAATATTTCGACTAGCCCATAATTCAAATAACAAAAACGAAAAGTTAAGCAAAAAAACAGTTGGAAAAATATCAAGAAAAACAATACGATTCGCCGCAGTGAAAGTGCAGAGAAAAAAATTGCATGGCATCTTTTAGGCGCAGCGCATAAAAGTTTCCGGCCGACGATTGGATCTTTGTGTTTTATTTTTATTTTCGATTCTCTCGTTGTTGTTGTTGTTGTGTTTGGACCCCTCGGCGCACAGGCAGCAGCTGTTTAAATGTATTTTAGTGCTTGCCACCAACAGCGGCCAGCCCCCTTGAGGGCCGGCAATCCATGGAGTATTCAAACTCAAAGTGTTTGAATCATAACGAGCCTCAACAACAACAACAACAACAACAACACGAGCAACACGAGCAACAAACCAGGCAAGTGCTTAAATATATATTTATGTATTGTGCATGTGGCAGCGTGTGCCCCATTTTTTTTGTATGGCCACACCTGTGAATTTCTTTTTTTTTTTTTTTTTAATTAACAAAACAATTGCCCAGGCACGAGTGCGGCAGCAGTCACGAGCCTTTTGTGTCGCGCTCTGTGTGCTCACATAATTCCAAACTTTTCAGCATCCAGGAGCAGCTGCTGCCGCTGCTGCAGTTGCTCCACATCATTCATTTGGCGTGTGACGAGTGAGCCACTAACCTACTTCCTGCCCCGTTGCAGCATGCAAAAGCCGCAGCAGCTAACGCTCTGCGGCTATTGTTGTTGCAGCTGTCGCTGCTGTCGCTGCTTTGTTTGCCGGCATGCCACGCCCATGCCTACGCCCACGCCTGGCTGAGATTGGGGTGTTGATGAGTGCAAATGTGAAAATGACATGAACCAAGTGGCAGCAGGAGACGACGACGCATCAAATAAACGATGCCAGGCCGCATAATAAATGATGAGATTTTTCTATGGCCTGCGCCTGTGGCCCTTACCCGGGCCTATGCATAAATCAAAAGTTCAATTTTGCACATTTCAGCAGAGAGAAAACACGCACACGCATACGAACACACACACAGAGGCAGAGGAAAAGCCAGGCAGATGACAAAGCGGGTTCTTGGCAGAAACTAAAACGCCACATGAGCAAATATTTCACTTTCTGCTTTCGAGCAGCGCATCGAAAAGCGAAAATATTGTGACAACATCCACAACAACAACAATCTGTGCTCTGAGTGCTTGTTGGGATGCTGCACTTGTGTGAAGTGCATAACAACGTGGAAATATTGTAAAAGCAAACTACACGACAGACAACTTGCAACAACAAGCGGCACGAACAGTCAGCGGGTTGCAGGGCGTTCACACAGTCGGTTCGATGGGGCAGGCGGCGGCGCCAGAGGCATGCCAAATGCCTCGGCTACAAAGAAAAATGCAATAAAGCTCAACGGAGGCATATAGCACATCAAACGTGCTGCATGCCACACAGCGAGCATTGGGGCATCTGCCAGAGCTTGCAACGGCCGCGTCCTGCGAGATGGGCCATGCAAAGCGTTCATATTGATTTTTAAAGTGCCGCGCCGCAAACCAAAGTTGACCAAGTGGCACATCCAGCTCGAGAGACTCAACTTTATAAAGACAATACAAAAAATATTGTTCTCAACATTAAAACAAAATTTTATTGGAAAAACGTAAAAGCATACAAAGTCAGACTTAACATTGTTACAGGAATCAGACTCAGCCCTCAGATTAAAAATAATTTAATAAGAAAAAGTTGAAAGGCAACTTTATTTAAAAAATTAACAATTTAAATTTTTTGCAACTGCACTAAAAATTTGTCTCCAGTTCGATTTGAATCACGGCTCGAACCAACTGAAAATTTTGATAAAATCAATTTGTTTTAAATCAAATTAAAATCTACAAAAAGCCAAAAAAGTTATTTATTTACAGACTTTTTTTTGCTTATGGCTTAGGGTAAAAAATAAATGGGAATTGGTAGGAATGTTCCATAAATCATATAAAAATAAATTGAAACTCTTAGAAATGCCTTATAAATTATAAATTGTAGAAAATTTGTGGGAATTCCAATTTATTTAGCATATTTTAAGCAATATTTGTACGGTTTACGCTCTAAAGTTACAGGGTATTTGTAAGTCGGCACTTGGCCATGTTTACGCAGTATTTGCAATGGCTGCTGTCGGTTGCCACAAGGATGCCACAAAGCAAGTATGGCGCACTTTAAGTTAAAGAACAAACCACAGTGCGTATACGTAATTAAGTTGGACTTAACATAGCGTATACGCAATGTGAATTGGCTAAAACTGGAAAAAAATTCAGAAATCTATGTAAATAAAATAAAAAACAAAATTAAATTAAATTAATTTTACTAAAAAACGAATCAACTTTAGTTCTGCACACATTTCTTAAGGCTCAATCATTTAACTTAAAGCCATAAACAAATTCAAATAATGCCTCTTAAATGTTAAAAGCGTATCCTTTATTGAAACTATCGATCAATGTGGCTGTCCGCTGCGCATGATATTCAATAAATTCTGTGTCGGACTTCGAGTAAAATGGCCAATTACGTGCAATAACGAGCCCAGAACTATGCCAGCCCGTCGAGATTGGGTGGGTTGGCCGGCTCCCAGTTAGGGGTTGCTTGCGACTGGAGCAGCTTGTTGGCCTGCCCCGCCTCGCTGCGCCCGCTGCACTGCACTGCCACATGAATGGCAATTTTTCCAATCAATTACGTGGCTTTGCGCGTACATGTCAATAAGGCGGATGGGTTGGGTAGGGCTGGGTTCGGTTTGTAAATGACTTGTGTTGCAAGACAATTGGCAAACGTTAATCATATTAAATTTTTAGCTAGGTCAGTGCATTTAATTGCGCTTAAATATTGGCACTCAATTTAATATGCCATTGAACATTTTATACTGTAAATAAGTTAAGCTTTCGCTTTCTCAGGCTAATCGTTCTCGGCAGCTATTTCCGAGCCACTGACACGCCCACAGCAAACGCAGCCAACGAAGCGACTGCAACTGCAACTGCAATTTTGGGCAGTCAACGTTGCCCCAATACGCCACCCACAACGCCCAGCAGCCCATTGCGAGATCCACCCCAAAGTCCATCGGATGGACAGACCTCTTCGCTGAGCTCGCATTCCGGTTCCAGTGACATCTTGTTGGGTGAGTGACATTCTGTTTTACTTTAAATATTATCATTATACTCAATTCTAAGGGAAATATACTCTTAAATTAGTTAAATTATGCACTAAAGTTTTCAGAGGAATTCCTAAACTGGATGGACAATACAATTTTTGCTGAAGTGTATTGTAATACTCCTATTATTATCATTAGAAATAATCTATATGAGCTTATTCTCGCTCTCCCTCTTACTTTTTCTTCGCTTTTGCTCTCACTTGACCGCTCTCCTCTTCTCTCATATACAGTTCAACTGAGATCTCGCAAGCCGACCCATTTAAATATCAAAGCATTAGGTGAATTCATGAGAATTACATAGAAAGGCGATTTTGAAGGAAGCGAAAATAGAGCAAAGGCCCACCAACTAATATACCCTGCTTCTTAGCACGTTTTGTTCGGGGGCATGCAAAACGTTTGTTACACTTTGCTTGAATATCTTTTGGGTTTTTTTTCTTACCGCGCTCCGGCTCTGTTATTTATAGCTGGCCGGTTTTCCTCACGAAACAGATCATGACCCAGGAAAGAAACGACAACAACAACAACAACAACAATAGCAGCACATAAAATCGCAACATTTTATTGAGGCTGCTGACATTCAGGCAAACATTGCACATGCCTCAGGCTGACACCCGGCCCGGCCCCGCCCCAGCCCGCGCCTGTTGCCACAGCGCCCACCGACATAGCTCGACCCAAAATGTCTTTTGTGTGTCTGTTTGGGCTTTGTGTTTGAGTTCGGGTTTTGGTTGCGGGCTCGATGCCATTGCCAGAAAAACAGACGCTGCTGCAGTCGGTCGCTTTGGCTAACACACACACACACACACACACATAGAGAAGTGTTAGCCAGAAATGCCGCAGGCAACAATCTGTGCCCCCGGGCCCATGTGGCAGCTGCTGCATCGTGTGTGTCATTTATATAGAGATTGCCATGGCACGGTAAATTCTGGCACAAGCTGCGGGCGGTTGCTGCCGCTTTAGATTGTTATCCGCCGAGCATCCTTGGGGCACGTTCATGTTGCACATAAACAGCCTGCCAGCAATTGAAAGTGCGGCTTTATTAAGTGAATAAAAACAAATGTGGACTTTTATTTGAGTTGTTTTAAAGTTCTTTCTGTTAAAATAACTGAAATTACCTTTAGCTAATATTTTATCTGTTGAGAAAGTTCCAACATTCCTTTCCGAGCGAATTGCCCAAAAGTATGCTATAAATTTGATTTCTCAATTAAAATATAAAAGTTTATTTTTAGCCGAAATTTGAGGTTTATTTTAAACAAATGCCCATAACAACTTTTTACTTCACAACCTGCGACAATATAAAAAATAAAGCTAAAATTAAAGTACAAAAATAAATTCTTTACAATATTTCAATATGAAGCATCAAATTATAAAATATTAATAAATAATTAATTGCAAATAAATTTAAAAGTGAAATTATACTCAGCTTAAGTCTAATTTGATTACAAGAAAGTATACAAAAGATATTCATTTTTATTTGCCAATTAAAACACTTTATTGTCGTGCTTTTCTTGTTGACTTTCCAGCGTTAATTACTTTCACTTTGCACAATTCTAATCAAACAACTTGAATGCCGATCAAACATTAGTGAGAGCCCACTCCCAGCTTTAGAGGGTAATTCCTGTTAATTCAGCTGAAAACTCATTAAGCCAAGTGATAATTTCGCCTGCCTTGGAACTTGTTTACAGCTTTCTAAGCTATCATATCAGACCAGGCCCGAGCGGCAACAACGAGCGCTAACTAGCCGCAAGAGGAAGGGCAACAACAAGAGCAAAAACAGAAGCTATGAAAAAAATGTGCAAAGTAAACAAGAATTCAAGAATCTAGCAGCAGGGGCATAATAATGAGCAAATAAATAAAACTAAACGCATTTGCGCCACTTTGTTGTTGCTGTCGCTGCCGCTGCTGCTGCTGCTGCTGCTGCTGCCCGTGACGTTGCTCAAGTCATTGAACTTAGAGACAAGCGAATAAAAACGCAAAAAAATGAGTAACTGCGGCGGCTGCGACGCGTTGATAAGTGAAATGCAATGGGCGCACGCCAGCAACTGGGCATGGTCATATTGGCATAGGCAATGGGCACAGCAGCAACAACAACAACAACAACAACAACAGCAGCAACAGGCCACGTGGTAGCGGCAACGAGGGCAAGCAGCCAGCAAATAACTCTCACTCAAAGCCCACACACACACACACACACACATGCGCGCGCTCTCTCGCACGCTCTCGCTGGCACGCACACACTGCCAGCGATTACACAATCTTTGCCTGCAGCAGCAGCAGCAGAGCAGCTGCGTCAGCGAGCGGCATTTTCATTTTTCTCTTCCTGGTGCGTCGACGTCGACGTCAACGTCGCGTGTCTTATGGCGTCGTGTGTGTGCATGTGTGTGTGTGTGTGTGTGTGCTTGTGCAGATCAGGTTTTATCAGGCAAATGCAATCGAACATTTGTTGGGGGCGGCGGGCGGGCGTTCGTTTTGCTTCGGCTATGCGAACCATTACGTCGCCCGCCTTCCTCGCCATCTTCGCCTCGTTGACTTTTCGCTTTCGATCCTCGATGTTTGCTGTTTCTTGTTATTTACAGTTTCTGCTGCTTTCGCTGCCGTTGGAAAAATAGCAAACTAGCCGCAGTTGCGGCCGCTGTCGCCGTCGACGTTCGCCGCTCGACGCTGATCATTGACTTTCGTTGCTTCTCTTTTGTGCCAGGCATTCGTCATGGAAAATGTGTGAGGCGGTTGCGCCATGGCGACCGTTGCGAAATGTGGAAAATTGTGCGCATAGAGCACTTGGGTGATTTTTCAATCTTTTCCTTAGCCCTGCGGCAGCGGCGATTTGATGTATGCGTGAAGGAGCCAGCCAGCCAAACTGAAGGAACAGCCAGATCGGGGAGTGCGATTGGAAAATATATGTGCATAATCTACGAACCGATAGGCTTTGATGGTACCGATCATAATAGACAGACTGTATTATGATTAAGAAATCATTTTAGACATATTTTTTTGTGTGTTTTATATATTTATTTCCATTAATGCGAATATTTTAAGACCTATGACCTTTTGTCTTTTTTTATCTTTCAAAACTAACACGACTTGGGTTTTTATTAATTAAACAAAAGAATCTGTCTTTGCTCTAGTTAAACAAGTTTTGCTAATGAGCTGAATTTTATATTAACGTACATATGCATGTATGCACTTCCAGTATGCATAGGACATACAAAAACCCACTCATTCCCAGCTGTTTCTCTCTCTCTCTCTCTCTCACATTTTGTAAAACTTCTTTCCGCTATGTTGCGGGCGTCATGAATACCTATTTTTTTTTTTGCCAGCACAGCTCGAAATCTTTGGCACCAAAACTAGTTTGGCACTTTCTACTGCCTAACAACAACAACAACAGCAGCTACATGGAGTGCAACTTTTAACTTCCGCATTGTAGAACTCCCGCTCGTTAGCTGCTCTCTCGCTTGCTCTCGCTGCCGCTGCCTTGCTTACACACGCGACCACACACTCAAGAGACGCAAAAGGTTCTTTGACTCGGCTGCGCTTCTGCTCTCTCCTGTTTATGCTCGCTGTTGCTCTCAGTGCAAACTTTGTAACGGTTCTCTTCGCTAGGCTCGCTGCCGGTCGTTGTGTGTGTGAAATTGATCTTGAGAGCAGTGTGTGCACTTGAAGTGAACGTCAACGTCGAACGTCGACGTCGAACGTCGGCGTCGCGGCAGCAGCTGCTGCCCACGGGCAATAGAAATTGAAAATAGCAACCAGGAACCGAGTGGGACCAAGCAAATGGAAAAGTGCAACAACAACAACAACAACAAGAACGGGCAGCGAGAGTGCCAATGCGTGTAGTTGTTGTTGTTGTTGTTGCAGTTGTTGCTGCTTGCAGATTAGAAAGATAGAAGCAATAACAGCAACAGCACCCCGTTTGCCGCCTCCCACTCCCTCTACTGGTTCTGCTGCTGCTGTTGCTGCTGGCTCCTCTGCTTCTGAGTCAGCCTCGTGCACGCTCAAACGGCGCTACGAAAGTTTTTCCTACTCCACACACACACACACACATGCTATTTTCCTACTCTTTCCACACACACACACACACACACACACATACAGACGCACGCGCCTGCTTCTTATTCTTGTTCTTTTCTTGCGCCGTCGCTGTCGCCGTCGTCGTCGTCGTCGTCGTTGTTGTCGTTGTCGTAGGTTCTGCAGTTCTGCAGTTTGGTTTGAATTTCTGTTGCGCATTTGGAGCGCTGCGAAGTTGGCGCTTGGATCTCGTCGAGACGAGAGTTTTGTACGCGCGATCGCACATTTTCACAATTTCCATTTGGCATTTTCCCCAAACGCTGTAAACGTCGCGCCCCCGCTCCTGCTTCCCCCATCCCACGGGCCGCATACAAACTTGTCTAATTAGTGTGCACGTCCAGCTTATCCAGCTGCCGGATTCCGTGGACACTTTGAACAGTTGCAGTGCCAACGTCGGGATTAACAAACACGGAAGTGATTTGAAAAATTACGCTGAAAATTATGATAATCAAGCTTAGTTTGTGCTGAAGTGAAGTGTGAAAATTGTTTAGATTTAAGTATTTTCCTAATTGTTCTATAAATAAGTTAAGGGGAGGAGATATAAATACGGGATTCTTTGAAATTTAATAGATTGCAGCAGCTTTCTCTGTAGATTGAAAAGTCGCAGAAGAGCAAATTGCAGATAGATAAGTTTAGAAATTTATTTTATTTTATTTTTCTTCTTTGCAGAGGCAAAGAGAGAAATCTTCTTGCAGTTGATATTGTGGTTAGTTCTTAGAATTTATAGAAGCTTACGATATTGTTTGTAGGGATTGCATGGATAAGACTAGAAATTAAAAAAGAATAATACAAGTTTTTCCTTTCATATAAAAGCTCAAGTTTCAGTTATATTAAAATACAAAATTGACTTAAAATCTGCAAAGTACAATTGAGTAAATGCCTTGACTCTATGTCTATATAGACAATCAAGAAGTGTTAAATAGGAATATAAATTGAAAAACGTTCACAAAAATGCTGAGAACGTTTCAGCGAGTGTTGCCTGTGGGGAATTCAATTTGCGTGATGATGTTGTTGATGATAATGGATGCGAATGCGAATGCAGCGACGCCAGCAACATGGATGTTTACCAAATAGAGCTGGAGGCACCGGCACCGGCACAACTACGCTCCCATCTGCTGATCGACACTGTGGCAAAGAACCTGGGCCAGCCGACACGCCCACAGCAGCAACAGCAGCAACAACAGCAACAACAGCAGCAGCAGCGGCAGCAGCAGCAGCAGGACGACGACAATAATATTGCAGATCTAGACGCTGAGGAGGAGGAGCAGCAGCAACAGCAGGCGGGGGACGACGGGGAAGAGGAAGAGGACGAGGAAGAAGAGGACGACGAGGAGGAGCAGGACGAGGTCGAGGAAGAAGAAGCGGAGGAGGTGCGACAACAGCAGGAGGAGGAGGCGGAAGAGAACGAAGCACTGCCGGAAGTCAGTTTTGATGCAAATTCTGATTTCAATTTGCATTTCTTTGACACGCCCGAAGATTCATCCACACAAGGCGCATATAGCGAAGCGGCCAGTCTAGACTCGGAGCCCGAGGACGAACAGGAGCAGCAATTGTTGCAGCAGCAGCAGCAGCAGCAGCTGGCAACTGGCACCGCACAGGAGCTGCAACATTGCCTCAGTGCCATCGAAGCGGATCCGCTGCAATTGCTGCAGTGCGAGAGCTTCTACAGCGCGACGCCAGCAACAGTTGCCGTTGCAGCAGCAGCAGCTACAGCAGCAGCAACTGCACCCGCAGCAACAGCAGCAGCAGCAGCAGCGCACTTGAGCTGCACGGCTCTGAGCAATGGTGGAGGTGCTCTGTACGCCATCAGCAGTGTGCATCAGTTCGGTCCCGCCAGCAACAGCTCCAGCTCGGCCGGCGCCCATTCCTCACCGGACAGCGGGCGCAGCAGCGGCGGCGGCTGTTGCTCCTCCAGCTCCAGCTCGGCCACGGTCTCATCCTCATCATCATCCACGTCGTCTGCATCCAGTGCCGAGCACTTCAATCGAGCGACGCTTCTCAATGCCAGTCAGCAACAGCAGCAGCAACAGCAGCAGCAGCAGCAACAGCAGCAACAGCTCCAGCTACAGCATACAACAGCAACATCCTCGTCGGCGGTCAGCTCCTCCTCAGGTCACGCGGCAACCGCTGCAACTGTTGCGCATCTGAGCAAAGGACACGCAGGTATGCCACATGTTGCAAGTGTGTCACGTCTCTTCCGTGTTGCTGCTCAACCACAACAACAATTGCCACAAATTGTGCCTCTCTTTCTTCTGTTCGCCAGCTATTCGCATTTTTCGTCTGCCTCGTTTTGCGGAAACTATTAAGGCGCAGCATGGAAAATGCGAAAATGAATGTAATTCGCAGTTGTTGTTAGCTTTTTTTTTCACAGCATTTGATAGATGTGGCAAGCAAATTGCCTTTCATATTGCGATTGTCTGTCAATGTTGTTGTTATTGTTGTCGTTGTTGCAATTGATAGCCATGAAAAATTGTTTTCATTTTCATAAATAACTTCAAATTACGTTCACCATTTGCTTAGTTAAAGTAAAGACCTGTATCAAGTTGAGTTTTGACTGCTTTTCCAGGATTTCCGCAAAACTTGTTTTAAGCTTTAATTAACCAGGAAAGTTTACGAAATAATTATAACAAAATATTTGTATTTATTTTTATTAAAGCCTGATTTAGTGAGAGCTTGGCTACATTTTTACTTAGAATTAATTTGCCATTTGCCTGTTGTTGGTTTGAAATTATTGTGAATCGCAAATATTTTCACATACAAAACGCGGGCTAGATTAAATTTTGGCCCTAAATTGGCAGCCAACAAATATGCTTTGATTGAGGCCAAAGTTATTTATGTTTTAGTGTCCGGACTTGTATCATATTCTATGACAATAACCTTTCCTTTTCAATGACAAAGAAAATTCTTGAAACCTTTTAAAAATCTATATGATATCTTATCAAACATACATATATATATCTATATATTTGATCTGTTTTATTAAACCTTGTCAAAGTCCAGCCCATGTCGATATTTTATTAGGGCACAATAATTTGTATTGTAACAAGATCTTGTTATCAATAATTTTATAAACAGGCATTTCAGTCTTGACTAAGTTGAATTATAATTTCAAGAAATTGAATATTCAAATACTTTAAACTATGAATTTTTAACCTGATCCAAGCGATTTGATCTCGGAATCACGTTTCATTTTGGATTATAAATTAGGCATATATATTATATATCTCAAATTTAAAAATTTTATTGCATAGCTCGATTTCTCTCAGTGCATAGAATCATTTTTATTTCTTTCTGCCACAAAATGCTGCGAGTTTATTATTAATATATATATTATATTTAGATTACATAAATACTTAGCCCAGATATATTCTTATTATTTAGACTCGAATAATTTGTTAAACTATTTTTTCTTTTTGCAACTTCTTGAGGCATGCGCTGGAGATGGAGCTGCTTTAAGTGCAGCCTAATTTCAAACTTCAGGCTCTCATATATTTCAAGTACTTGAAGTTGTTGATTTGCAAATGTTTGGGCTTTTCTTTGAACGCAATTGCGTTGCGTGAGGGTCTAAATGAGTTTGCCGCATGGCCAACTAAGTGCTCGAGCAAACTTGCGGCATTCGAGTTTTGCCGGCTTTCTAATTGGGTTGCAGAATTGCTGGCAAGGATTTATTAGCAGCATTTAATTGCTGCAATTAGTGAGGCGGCAAAACAAATTAAACTGCGGAAGGAGTGCAGAGCGGGTGGGGGAAGGGGGTAGTGGGGATTTGCCGCCCAAAACTAGTTGCTGTCGCTAACGAGACTCAGCTGGCATTTATTTAACTGACAGTCAGTCAGTCAGTGCCAAGCATTCAATCAGTTTTCCTTTCTACTTAGCGTCGCGTCTTTTTTTCATACCCTGAACCCATTCAAAGTGTGTAAAAGGGTAGATTGTTTTCGTGCAAATGTATGTAACAGGCAGAAGAGAGCATCTCCGACTTCATATATTATTGATTAATAGCCGACTCGATCTAGACATAGGTTCTCCTAGTGCCAGTGAAGTAGGACCTTTTTTTCGATAGTCGATAACTGTCGATAACGAAATCCTGTTTTTTGAGCATATCTCGTAAGCTATAAGAGCTAGAGTCGCCAAACTTGACATGCAGCTATTAGATTTGTATATATATATTAAGTATGTTTTATTTTAAAGTTATCGCCACAGTTTTAATGCAATTGATCTCTTGACAATACACAAATATGCCTTAATTCTACTGTTGCAGATGAGACAGAACAGGGTAAAGGGGATCTCTTAGTCGGGCACTTCCGACTTCAGCCGCTTATTGGTTTTTTTGCTTCGTTTTATCACAAAAGAAAACAAGTTGCAACAAAAATTATGAACTGGTCGTCGCTGCGGCTGCTTGTGGCTTGTCTATCGCTGGCCGCTGTCTGGCAACGCGGAAATGCCGGGCAGCTGCCCCTGCTCCAGTGCCTGCCGCAGCAGCAACAATGGCGTCCAAATTGTCAACTCACAAAGGCGGCCAAGTGATTTGCATTTGAACGCGGCGCGAAAATCAAGTAAAGCAGCAGCAGCAGCAGCGACAGCGACTGCCACTTGAATTTCCTTTGCTGCTGACATTTTCCAGCGCCTTGGCTGAAAATTCAATTTGCAATTGCACAAGCGCGTAACAGTGGGGCATGCCCCGCCTTCAACTGCCTGCAACTGCAACGTTGCGTCCAGTTCGTGCAACTTGCACATTAATTTCATTTCATTTCGCCTCGCATTTCGAGGTGTGGCAACACCGATTGCTGCAACAACTGCCACACGCGCAGTTCAAACTCCGCGCTTAGTTCATTTGCCTTTTTCCCTCTCTTTTATTATTATTATTATTTTTTTTTTGCATTAGAAAAAGGCAAATTGAAATGAAATGAAATGCCAAGAAGCGCACAATTTTCTACGAGTTGTTGCTGTTGCTGCCTCTCAGCAATTTGCATTGCAAATTTTCGGCGCTTGCAGTGAAAATTGTGCGGCTGTTGCAAGTTGTTGTTGCCGCTTTTCCCCGTGACTGACGACAAACCGCTGCCCGACGCCCGCCGCCCGCTTCGCGCTGCTGTTGCTGCTGCTGCCTTTGTGTAGGTGGCGTATACGTGATTTTGTTGTTTTTATTTGTATTTTTTGGCATTTTCGCTTATCACACATTCAAACAGCCATCATCAATGTTGTTGCTTTTGTCGCTGCTGAAGTTGAATGCACTTTTGAGCTGCATTTGCATTTGTTTGCTTCTCGCTGCTGCAAGCGCTGCCTTAGCAAAATGTGTTTTCCTTTACCAGTTGCCAGCTTTATATTAAAGCTCAAGAGGCTCACAAAAGTTCTTAAACCTTAAAAACATATTAAATTTATAGGGTAATTGCCTTTGAAGTACTTTTTCATTACAATATCTTGTAGCATATTTTTTTTAAAAAGCCATTTCTTTATAGCCTTGTAGAGCGTATTATAATCCAGTCACGAATGGTGAAACATATTAAAGAAGACAGAACCGATTTTATTAACTGACTTGTCCGTCTGTCTGTCCGTGTGTGTAAACTCTTCGATTCTAGAGACTATAAGATCTATAGACTTGATATTTGGAAGATGTTTTCTTCTCTCCGCAGCTCAGATATTTTTATAGTTGTAAAAATAGAAGATACTTTATTTGTACATTCTATTCTAGAAGCCATAAGTCAAATTTGATGACAAAAAAACCGATTTACGACATCGATTTTTATCGATTGCTTGGAAACGTTTGGCAGGTTATCGATTACCGAAAACAATTTCTTAGTGGGATCTAAGAACAGATTAATAGATGAAAAGACGGACAGACAGAGATGGCTAGATCGACATGGCTTTTGATGCTGAAGAATATATACTGAATAGAGTTACAGATGCTTCATTCTGTCTGTGTTATTTACATTCGCACAATAACATGATATCCCTTCTTTACGCTTTCAGTGGGCTTAGAGACCCTATGAACAGCTTGTCTCGCAGCTTGAACTGGCTGCGAAGCTAAGCTAGTTATAGTTATGCATGCGCATTCAAATTTAAATTTTAATTAAAATGTAATTTTGCCGCTTAGCTGTGGCATGCCACATACACATTGGCACAGCGCTTGCTCCATTAATCTGATTTGGTCTGACCATTTCCCTGGATTCACCTAATGTAAGCCGCCCACGGATTCCATTAGAGCTGCCAATCGCATGGAGCACGTTTCCTTTTCCATTGCCAACTCGTCGGGGGAGTGTATTGACAGGCGAGCTGTCAGTGTTTTTGTCACTGACAAATGAGGCGAGAAGCGACAAGCGACGAGCGACGAGCAACATGCGGCAGATGTGGAGCAGGCGATAGCCGCGCGCATTTAGCAAATTGCCACCGCGAGGCAATTTGTGGCGCCTGCCCAAGTGGCGTATGAGTAATGTGAACAGTAAGAGTTAACAACAATTGCACTTTATCATTGCAGAGCAACACTCGCAGCAGCAGCAGCAGCAGCAACACGGGCAGCAGCAGCACGCGCAGCAGCAACAGTTGCAACACAAGCAACAACAACAGCAGCTCGCGCAGCAGCAGCAGCAGCAACAATTCGGCATCGTTGACTCCAGCAACGGCAGCAGCAGCAGCAATCACAACAACAGCAGCAGCAGCAACGGGAATTGCAACAGCAACAACAACAACAACAGCAGCAACAGCAGCAACAACAACGGCAACAACGGCGTCTCCTCGAAGTCGTTTGTGCCCTGCAAAGTTTGCGGCGACAAGGCATCGGGCTATCATTATGGTGTAACCTCCTGCGAGGGTTGCAAGGTAAGTTCCCCCCTCACCCTCTATCCCTCCCTCGCTCTCTCTCTCGCTTGCTCTCATGACTTGTGTTTACATGTTGCAGGGCTTCTTTCGTCGCAGCATCCAAAAGCAAATCGAATACCGCTGCCTGCGCGACGGCAAGTGCCTGGTGATACGCCTGAATCGGAATCGCTGTCAATATTGCCGCTTCAAGAAATGCCTCTCGGCTGGCATGAGCCGTGACTGTAAGTAGCTCCATCTAGGCTTAAGACTTTGCCCAAGCTGCTGCTGTTCGGCAAGTGAATGGCGGCTGCACCTAGTCGCTTGTTGTCATCGTGGCCAGCTTTATTAGCCAACTGTTAAAGCGTTGGCAGATTTTACACTTATGCCGATCAGAGATTGTGTCTGCCAACTGTCGAGCGGCTGCCAATGCTTATTGGACAGTTCGATAAGTATCCGACAGACTTGAGCTCTTAATCTGCTGCTCAACTGTGCTCTAAGGCAATGTCTAAGCGCGGCTTGCTTAATTAATAGGCCCCTATTAACTTTAGATAGTCTAAACATGATTACTCTAATACTTGCTACTCATAAGTCAGGCTGGTTTTTATTACTTAATATAATTGATTTGATAATACTTTAATTGGTAAATTTGTCAGCTTATATTATGTAAGAAGCTGCAGCAGACATATCTTTATATAAATATTTTCTGATAGATGGAATTGTCACTTAGCAACCGATATTATCTTTCATTTACGTTTCGCATGCACATCGCCTCTCTATGCGATTCTCATGATCATCAAGAAGAGTGTTGAGAACGTACAGAAATATTGACCAGAGAAATTATTGGCATTTTGAATGGATTAAGATTAAAAAGTATATTTCATTAAGTTACTTTCGTTCAATGTCTAAAGCCTACTCCATGTTTGATCTGTTATTCTATTTTTTATGTTTGATCTGTTATTCTATTTTTATTCTATTTACAATTGCCCGTTGTACTGAAAATATTCCAAGCTTTGAATACTTTCATATACAAGATGCGGGCTAAATTTTATTTTCTCCCAATATTGACATCTACCGAGCATGGTAAGATGAATGATAGTTGGGGCCAAAGTTATTTATACTTTGGAATTGTTTAGATATGTTTGTTTAATGTAATATAATATAGAGAACTGTTTGTATTATAGCTGTTATGACATCCACTCTCATTCCTGCTCCCTCTTCTCATATTGATTCAATTCTATTTATCTTAATTTTCCCTTGCTTCACTCGCTTCTCTCTTTTACGGTTCTCTATTTCTACCAATCGCTTAATTTCTCTTTCTTTGCCTCTTAATCGTTAGGCACAACCCAGTAGGCACAATACATTATGTCATGAAAATCGCATAGAAAGGCGATACCGTACATCACCTTGTCTTCAATTTGTCTTCCGCACTTTCTGTGGCTTGTCTTGGTTAAGTCGCTTGCCCAGCAAAACACAAAGCTGCGCCTTAAGGTCTAATTCATCCAACTTGATTATCTTAGTTGTTCGTTAACAAGCTGTAAAGCCCCAATGGGGAAAAGCGCACAAACAATGCGCCGCCTGCAGCAGCAGCATTTGGCTGTTACATAGACGTTTTGTGGCGTATGTAGGAGTACTACTTCCTGGTTAACTCAATCCACACACGGCAATCACAAAAAGGAGACTCTCAAAAAAAAAAAGCAAAAACAAATTAGTTTTTATGAAGCTTGTCAGACCGAAAATGTTGCTGCAACGGCAACAGTTGCTGCAGACAACGTTGCAGTTGTTGCGTTTAAATGCAATTTATTTGATGTTGCACAATTAATTGCCTAAAACGTGAAAGGGATGTGGAGGCAGCGACGGGCGGCGGCTGGAGTACAGTGGAGGGGGCAGCGTGGGGGCAATTGCAGGCGCAGTGGCTGTGTGTGTGTGTGTGTGTGTGTGTGTGTGTGTGTGACAGACATTTGTTGCAGTTGTTGCCGTTGTCACTGTCAAAGCTGTTGTTGTTGCTGTGTTGTTGCTGCTTGCAACATTTATTAGTCGCCCTGCAACATTTGTTGCCATTTTTTATGGCCTTTGTTCGCGTTGCGTTGAGCAAACACTTCCTTCATTTCGAACAGCGTTGCCCACGCCAAGCCGGGCCAATCCTCTCCAGCCCACACGGAGGGGGAGAGTGCGCGAGATGAGTTCGTGTTTACTTTTCGCCAATTTTAATGATTTTGCCAACAAGTTTTCTCGTACTTGCAGCTTCCTCAATCCTTTAACTGCAGCCATTGCATATGGAAAGTTTCAATAATTCACTTCAATTGCTTTTCTGGCAGCTTGTGATTGCTGTTGTTGTAGCTGCAACAGTTGCTGCTGTTGTTGCTGGGCGTTTTGATTTGCTGCTGTTTAATTAAGCATTTGGCTCGGCCTTTTTGATTTTATGGCAATGCCATTTTGCCAATCGCACGCCGTGAGAGAATTTCCAATTAAGTTTGCAATTTTCATTACGATCTAGCTCCAAAATAAAGGGGGTACAAAACACATTGCTCGCCCAACTCAACTCTGAAAGTGCCTTAAATTATTTAGCTGGCAGCTTGGAAAAAACATTTTTATTATTGTTTCTATGTTTTTTGGGTCAACTCACGTCATGCAAAGAGCCAACTAAATGCAATTATGCTGCGAGTGGGCGTGCCTCACATTTGCTGCTGGAGCTGCTGCGTTTATGGTTCAATGACACCAGCTGAAAGTGGCACAGCGCTTGATTTAAATAGAGCAGCAGGAACCAGAACTAAAAGCAGTTAGAGCAAGTGGAATAGATTGAGCGAATTGTGATAGAAAAAGCTTGATAAATAATTAGAGCTTCACCAAATGCACTTTAATAGGCAACTTGTAAAAGTAAAACTTGCTGCTGCTGGTCAAGCTTTAAGATTAATAAAAGCTTTCGTGTGCCTTATGCAAATTGTTAAACGGCAAGCTTTAGGTTTGTGTTCAATCTACACTTAAGCTATTTTTTCGCCAGTCATGTGCCTTAAGCGTTAAGAGCCATCCTGTGAATCTTAAAGCTTTTGGCTTTAACATTCTTAAAACGATAAACCCAAAACAGCTTCGATTTCTGCACGATATACTGTTAGAAGACTTAAGGGTCAACTTGTAAAACCAAAGAGCATTATTTTAAAGTGTACTTAAAGCTTTAAAAGAAACTTGTAAAACGCAATGTGTTAAGCTTCTCATAAATAAGGAGAAATTTGTTGGACGTGGAGCTTTAAGTTTCTGAAAAATGTAAGAGCTCTTATTTATAAGCTGTATTAGCTTTTCTGTGTTTTAGGTGTACAGAAAAAGCTCGCTAGACGTAAATGAATATGATTCTGAATAATCAAGCTTTAATCAAGCCTTAATTACACACCAAATCAGTTTTAACGCTTTTGCTATCTGGGGAAAAAACTAAAAGCTGCTGCTGTTGTCTCTTACTTTTAAGATTAATTTGATATTTGAGAGTAACTTGTAGTCGGTGCCATTGGGAAGTAATTTAGCTAGCGGAAATTGGGTCACACATCAAACACATGCCACAAACGCGCACAAACATGCCGCATTCTGTGGCAGAGGCAGCCGCATCCTCGGCTTGTATTTCTGAATTAATCAAATTTTGTTCTGTTGGGGTAATTGTGAATGTTTGGGGCTGTTCAGCTGTCACACGTGGCGTATGCGTGTTGTCGTCTGTCAATCGAAATGCAATTAAAACGCCAAACTAGCGACAATTTTGGGGCAGTGTGGCTTGGGAATGGGCACACAATTGTCGCCAGCGGCAACAGCAACAGCAACCATCGAGGCGACACAGTTACATAGAACGGCTCCACTCGACTCCAACTTCGACTCTGACTCCAATTGTAGTCAATTTGAAAGCAAACTATCAAATGTCAGCAACACACAGATCTGCCGTGGCTGCGGCTCTTGTTGCTGTTGTAGATGCCACTTTGGGCAGCCAAAAACAAGCTGTTGCTGCTGTTGCTGTTGCTGTTGTTGCTGCTGCTGCTGCTGCGTCTGCGCAGCCAAGACAAACAAGACTTTGAGACGGAATTGTAATTGTGGCCTAAACTGGGTCAGCTGACAGGCCACATCCAACATCCACAGTCAAGTTCTAGACGAATGCGAATTGTGTTGCCGTCGTTGTCGCTGTTGCTGTGGTTTTGTCCCATTGTTGTTGTGCAGTTGCCGCGCTTTGCTCAGCTTTTGTGGCTGGGCTACATTAAAGCGCAACAGCAACACCTTTTGCCATTGTTTGCCGCCAACTCCATTGTTTCTTTATTTTTTTAAATTTTATTTGGCAATTGAAACTGGCGGAGCAATATAAACAAGTTAAAACAAAAGACTCGCAATCTGCTTGAATAATTGACGCGATTTTAGTTGCTTTTAGAGGGAAATTATGGCAAATGAGTTGCTAGAATATCGGATAAAGGCCAAAGATAAAATTTAACAAGCTGTTTGCTGTTTGTTTTATTTATTTATTTTCTTCAATTTATGCGTGCTTTAATTGAAACTTAAATGAAACACTTTACGAGATGTTCTTCTCAAATGATAAAAATTTTTAATTATAAACATGCAGTAAATTTATTTTAATATTATATTACTTAACACCTAATATGTTTTGGGCATTAGCTGGGCTCAGTTCAGCTCGATGCGACCCGCGTTTTCACAGCTGTTCCCTGTTCAATGCACCCGACAAAAATCCAAAAAAAATGACAAAAAAAAAATCAAAATAAAAAAATGACTCCAATAAAGCGGCTGCTTTTCACTTCCTTTTGCATTCTTCGAGCGCCTTTCACTTTCAGTTGCTGTCGTCGCAGTCACTTCCGCTGATGTTGCTGCTGCTGTTGTTGTTGCGGTTCTGCCAGCTCAGAAACCAAAGTCCAATGCACGCAATTTTTATGAGTTTTCAGCAAACGAACTGCAAACATCAACAAAGACGTGAAAAGAACGCAAATTTTGTTGCTGCTGAAAGATCGTTTAATTTTTAATTATGTATTTAAAATGTGTTGCTGTTGTTGTTGCCGTTGTTGTTGTTGTTGTGTGTGATTTATTTATAAACATTTAGCATTTCAAATATGTTTACAATTAATTTTTGGCGACAATTGGCGTGAAATGCAAAGTTAAGTAAACATAAATGAAAAGCCACAAAATAAATCAAATAAATGTAAACAAGTTAGCCGCAGCAATAAATGCATTGTAAAGAGCAGCAGCAGCACCTGTTGCAGTTGCATGTGCCGCG